GGGGGGGGGGGGGGACAGGAATCTACAATAGAATGCTAGATTTCGGGAACCTGGCGGTCGTCGAGTTGATTTAGGTGGATGGTTGTGACAATCCCTAGCTAATACGTTCATTGGCCTTTATAACGACACCAGAACAGCTCAGAGGCTGCAACATATTCGTCGGTAATATACATTCTATACTCTAACTCCCCACGCGTACTATATTGCAACTTGGACCAATGCGCAGCTTCTGCTAAGCCTCTCTTTATACCGCTCCTAAGTCCCCAGTCTTGTTCCACTTGATGATTGCAGTCTCCCATGGTATAACGGAAGCACCCAACGCTCTCAGCTCACTCTCAACGTCATGCTCGATCTCGAGTGCGGTCCTGTCAGCAGTATCATAAGTCGAGTGAGCGCCATGCAGAAGCGTGAGGCGAAACCCAGCGTCCAGAGCGCCCTTGCTCGTTTCTAGTACGCAGTATTCACTTTGTATGCCGAACACAACGATATGTTGGATGCCCTCAGACTTTAGAACTGCCCCTAAATCTGTGTTTGACTTGAACGTATCCCCTATTTCAAATCAGCCAATGTTCATAGAAGAGAGAAGGCAGGTCTCACGCTGGTTTTTGGAAACGAGGAGTTCTCTTGTGTTTTTGGGATTGTTCTTGAAAACCAACTCCCACTGCTGTGTGCCCCTGACAAGTGGCCCGTCTTCGGGTGCTTCCTCATGTTGTACAAAAACGATGATAGGTTTTGGGTCGGCTAGTAGTCCTCGTACGGCACGTAATATATCGGTCCCTGCATCGTAAACACGTTCAGCGTGCTGAATACGTGTATTGGGGTCAGACGCAAGGTCGTTCTGAATGTCAACGACAAAAAGTGCGCTCTTTGGAGCCGCCATTGTTTCGTGGTGTTACAACCTCCATGCAAAGGCTGACGGTTCCCCTTATAAGCGACTGGCCTGAGTCATAAGTGAAAAGAAAGCATGTGCTTTGAGGGACTAACCCAAACAAGATGTCCCGCAGCAGAGCATCATCTACGATCCTTAAGGGCCATACATTATATCACTATAAGGGACTTGACATTCGAGAGGCTTAGATAAATGACTCATGTCCAACTCTTGAATTGATGTAGTATACAATGCATGATAGACAACGCGCCCCGCATTGCTACAATGAAACTATTGACTATATGCTATAGGTAGGGTATTAAGTACTTTGACATTGAATGATGTCTCTTACAGGAGCATTCTTCTGGGATCCTCGATGTACTCCTTCACCTTGACAAGGAATTGCACAGCCTCCCGGCCATCCAGCAGACGGTGGTCGTAGGTGAGAGCAAGGTACATCATGGGTCGGATCTCGATTTTGCCGTTAACAGCGACGGGGCGCTCCTTAATGGCGTGGAGGCCGAGAACGGCGCTCTGGGGAAGGTTGATAATGGGGGTGCCCATAAGGGAGCCGAAGACACCACCGTTGCTGATGGTGAAAGTACCGCCAGCCATGTCCTCGATGGTCAGCTTGTTATCGCGAGCCTAAAATCTTGGTGTTAGCAACTAGCACGTAGTTTTACTCAAGCAGAGTACAATACCTTCTTGCCCATGTCGGCAATCGATTGCTCGATACCGACCATGTCCAGAGACTCAACATTGCGGACAACAGGAGTCACGAGGCCCTTCTCGGTAGCGACAGCAACGCTGATATCGACGTAGTCGCGGTAGACGATGGTGTCGCCGCCGTTGGGTCCCTCAATGGAGGCGTTGACGGCAGGCAGATCGCGCATGGCAAGAACGCAGGCTCGGGAGAAGGCGCTCATGAATCCAAGCTTGACACCGGTCTTCTTGAGGACGTCCTCCTTGTAGAGCTTGCGGAACTCCATGATGTTGGACATGTCGACCTCGTTGAAGGTGGTCAGGGAAGCAGCAGTGTTCTGGGATTGCTTGAGACGCTCGGCAATTCGGAGGCGCATGCGGTTCATCTTGACCTATATAAACAGTTAGCATCCTTGGGCAACAGGCCACGGACAGTCCTCTGTGCTATAGGAGTAACTTACACGACGCTCCTCACGGTTGCCCATGGAAGGACCGCTTGAGGCGGAAGATCCAGACTTGGACTCCTTCTTCTCGGGCTGTTTGGGAGGCTCAGGCTTGCTGGGAGCAGGGGCGGATTCCTTCTTGGGCTCGGGAGCAGATTCTTGCTTAGGCTCAGGTTTTGATTCAGGTTTCGACTCGGATTCGGATTTCTTGGGCTCCTCCTTGGGGGCCTCCTTCTTGTCGCCAGATGGTTCACCACCGAGTTCAATACGGACGAGATCTTGGCCAACGGTAACGGTATCCTCCTCACCAACAAGGAACTCCTTGATGGTACCAGACTCTGTAGCGTTGACAGCAACATCGATCTAATATTTACATGTCAATAAAGATATTCTCCAATGTGACAGACAATTCGAGTTTGCTATGACGGCATGCATACCTTGTCGGTCTCAATGGTAGCAATCTCCTCATCCTGCGCAACGTAATCGCCAATGCTCTTGGAGAACTGCTTGAGAGTACCCTCAGAGATGGACTCGGCCATCTGGGGGACCTTGATGACGGAATCGGCGTAAGTGCGAACGGTCTGCATCATCGAGGGAAGCATGACAAGAGGATGCGCACGAGGCCGCAAGACCCGAGCGGGCACCATGCGGCTGGCGGTGGCTATACTTCTTGACAGCATTTTTGCAAGATTGTGATGTGAGGAAACTGGCGAGAAGAAGAAACGGCGAGAAGGACGACGATCGCGAATTGGTGTTGAACTTGAATGGAGGTGGAGGTTAGTTTAGGTAGGTCAGGAGGGAAAAAAGGAAACACACACCAAGTGTCAGAGCTCGGACAATGATTCGCGATGTTCCACTCACAAACAAGTAACTCGGCAAGCTTTTGGGGTTGGGGGTACCAAAAAAAGCCAGTTACCCAGCACGACCCGGTGCCAATATCTGCCCAGGTACGGTACACCGATGGGCCGAAAACGGTGTAGCGGGCTGCGGGAGACCCAGGAGGTACATGTCCGGCAGTGTAGAGCAAACAGTACTCGCTGATTGGCTTCCAGATGCCCACCCGATTACCTGATGGCCGACACCTTAGCCGAGCAGCCAATGGCGTCCGGCTTCTCCCGTGGGAACTCTCCAAGTCACGTTAATTGCAGGATGGACGGGAAGAACCAGGAAGGCTACTCCCGAAAGACCCGGTAAAGAGCTTCTTCACCTTAACGAGCATTAAGGTATTATGACATCGCACACCAACATGGCCGTTCACCTTGACCAAATCAGAGCAAGTGAATTAGCATTATTTCTTCCAACATCTATCTAGTCAATAACCTCTTCCCTTCGTCCCTCTAAACTAGGTATCCAATGATTATTTACTTATCAGTTCCACTTCGTGTCCAAATCAGTGTTTATATCATGCTGTTAGCGGCTTTGGCCGGCTTAACATGTACGTAAAACTTGGAGATTCCTAGGCCACAAACGTATTTTTACCCTATGAAGTAGAAATTATTTACGTATGACACTGCTCTCCATAGAGAGCTTTCTTTGGATTAATATCAAGAGGTATCTAAATATCCTAGCCCTAGTGAACGCCTCATTCCCGCGTGTATTCCCTCCCCCCCAAAACAAAAGGTCATTATAAACTGTCAAAGTCTGCTTAGGTACAGAAGTTCGTTTTATGTTACTCCATTAAATATAGCATTTCTGCCGCCCCAATGAGAAAACTAAACCTTTGTAACAAATCTGAAACAATTCTGATGCCGGAATGTTGTTGATTACCGGCGTTTTATGTAGAAGTCATCATGCCATGACCATTCATCCCTTGTCAATTCGCCTAATATGATTGGGGATTCGCCGGTCTTTTGGCTTAGCCGTGGAGACTTGTGATATTCAGTCTGAAAACCCCCATGGTTGACAAGCTTCAACATATTCAGCCATGGTATTCGGCGAGATTCACATCCCCTCCTGCAAAAGCAGGTTTGAAACTCATTTGCCAAGCTCGAAATAAAAGGTGACCTCTGTGCCTTTTATAGGTGAAGTTCGTCAGACCGTGTGGTAAGAGAGCGTCGCAAGCCACCATAGCTCGACAACGGGCTGGGGTAGTCGCTCATAGGCGACACGATATCCCCGGTTCCTGTGCCCGAGTGGGGAGAAACAGGTTGGAAAGAGGCGCTGGATGGCACAAACGAGGCAAGCTGCTGTTCTTGAAGTGATAGATGTCGTTGCCGTCGCGGCTGTTGCTCTTGACGCTTCTGTTGTAGTTGGTATTGCTCGTTCTGGTCTTTTTGGCGCTGCGCCTCCTCATGCGATACCGCCCATCCCACAGAGCTTTGCTGGTGGTCGGGGTGAAAGCTGGACTTTGGTACCGCTGTTGGCACCATAACATTTCCGTAAATGTTGACTAATCGAGGGCCCTGATACCACCACTGATCCTCGAAGCCATTGTCGACCGTCATTAAAGCTGAGGCCAGAGATTGTATATCCTTGGCTTTCCCCCTTGCCCGGTCGTCTACTTGTGCCGTCTGAACGGGACGTGAGAGTTCGCCAGGAAATTCAGGTCCCCATGTTGCTCGAAGACTAGCCTCACGCGAACGTGTGCGGCCTTCGCTCCCTTCGTCGTGACCCTCTTCATCGTTGTTGTCGTTGAAGCCCATGGGGAAGGTCCATGAATCCCACGGCATATCACCTTCGCCGAGTCGAAACTGGTTAGGGGTTGCAGGAAGAGCTTTCCAAAGTTGGGGTTCACCCTCTAGAGCGTTGGAGGGGCTTATGTCCCAAGGACTACTATTTAACGGAGGGGGTGCAGATTTGCCGCGCTCGTGGGAACCTCGGCTTGTCGACCTCGAGCTCCGTCGAATCTCCTCCGGCTGCAGTGAGCCTTGTTGTTGCTGTGCTGTCATGGCAGGAGCATAGTACTCTCTGATATGGTGTTGTGCTTGCTGGGGGCGATATGGCTGATACGTCTGGCCGTCAGCTACTCCTGCTGATAAGTGCTCTCCGCTTTGAACATTGGAAGAAAAGTTGTTGGCGTGGTAAGCGAACTGATGTTGTAATCGGTCTTGAGCCGGTTGAGTCTGAGTTGAAAGCTGCTGGGGAGCGGTGAGGTAGTTGGTGTTTGGAGGAGGCAATTGCCGGGGAAACTGGTTGGCTCGGTCGCGCATGCTCTTGGAGATGTAAGTGATGTGTCGGTCTTTGGACATGATCCTGGGCAGCGATAAGCCCATTTCTAAGTGGACATAGATGGCCGGTCGGTCTCCCATGATGGCGGCGGATTGGAGAAGAGTCGTGACCGAGGCAAAGTTGGTTATAGATCGAATATGAGGCGGAAACGAGAAATGGTAATCGTTTGTTGAAGTTGGGGATTCGACCGACTATTGGCGTGGATATAAAGGAGCGGTATGTAGTACAGTCTTGAATGTGTGAATTACAGAAGCGGAGAAGAGAGGAAAGAGAGCATGGAAGGACAAAGTCTCAGAGACATGAGATGCATCCAATATAGCTGATGTATTCTCCAGTTGGATGGGAGGCTTAGAGTTGTTCTCCGCTTCTAGCCAAGTCTGAAGCCCTTTAATCTGAGGTCAGGTAGGGTAAGGAATAAGGTAGTCGCGCCGAGAGCAAGGGAAGGGATGAGCTTGGGGGAGGCGGAGTTGAGCCTTGTAATTAACTAGCTACCTTCCTTAGGTAGGTATGGATAGGTAACTAATTAATCATGTGTCAAAAAAGAAGAGAAGAACAAAGGAAGGATGGGTTCAGCTCTACCTCCGTACCCACCTAGTCTACAGTCTCAGCTGGAAGGCCAGTCCATTTCAACGGTTTCCTTCCTTGCCACCTGATCTGATCTGGAAGGAAGGTGAGAGAGCGAGAGCGAGAGCGACTCATTCAACTTGTTTCGGGTAGTGACTGAGCCCGTCTATCGGCGCCGTCTTGATACATACGGGGCCGATAGTGGGGAGGGAGGCTTTGACGGCCTGCACACGGAGCTTGTGGAGGAAGCTAAGGTCCCTCTTACAGGGCAGGACAAACCCATCGCAGACCAGGCCAGGCCAAAGGGCAGGGATGGTGGTGATCTGTTTGTTGCTTTTGCTTGGCGTTTTTGTTGAAACAATCGCAATTCACAACAGTTATTATGTATCTATCTGGTTATGAGGAGCCAAGCTTCAAGATACAGGACATGTAATTTGATTTCTGATCGAAAGTAACAGAGTCTCGTATAGCATAAACAACTCGTGATCTGAATAAGCGGCTTTATCCAACTCAGCTGAAGTTGTCTGCCATGTCAATGGAACCGTTACACTCAGATGATTGGTCAGATCCCCCTCTCCATTTGCCCCAGATTACAAGCAAGGGATCCTGGCGAGACGCTATAAAGTGATTGGGGCTGGAAAACCAAACCTCAAAAAGTGACCGCAAGGCGTGGCGAAGGCCAAGATATTTCCAGAATGTATCCGTCCCGCTTGATTCAGTACCGTCCGTATGTTTATTTTTGGCTCATCTTTCGACTAGCTAACCTTATACGAAAGAAGGAAAAAGCATGGGATCAGATATATCGCCTCTCATTCACTCACTTGATTGATTGATTTATCGCATTGATGCATGGGAATGACATGACCCAGACCACTCACTAATTAATTCACTGCAAGGTTCCCAATCCATCTGATCCATTCTAGAAGCCCTGACATTCCTGCAGAACAAAACTGACCGCACAAATAGAGATTCATTACTGTGACAAGTTTTCCGAGAGCCATATTCATCACTGTTCAGAGCATGTATGCCTCGCTGAAACTTTTTCTGGTCATATTTTTCAACCAATTCCATCAAGTTTCACACTGCCTGAGTGAAAATGGCTGTGTTGTGCTCCAGCTGACGGGATAGTGATCCTTCGTGGATGAGCATGGAATTGTCTCGACTAAAAACGCCGACCGGACTTATAGTCATTCCTTCTGAGCAATGCCTCTTCCTCTGATTTGCCAGACCCCGTCAAAGGCCAGTTTTGGGTTATCCTATAAGTTACAGAGCGCCATGGGGCGCATCCTGTAATTTGCACCGGCATTAGATTCCTTGCTTGACACTTTGTCTCTATGGAACAGTGACATACTGACACCGCTACTCTTCACTATCAATCTCTGAATCAGACTTGGTCCATCATGTCGACCACTTTGCGTCAACCAACAGTTTCAATTCTGTGCATAGCCTTTCCTAACTTGGCACCCTCCGGAGTCAGTAGCTGCTCAGCCTCCCGAATGGTGTGAGGTTACAAGCTATCTGATTACAACCAAGGGTTGTGTTTCAGTGACAAGAATTCTGTCAAGAGTCGATGTAATGGGAGCGTAGCTGTGCGACATGATGAAGCATCCCCAGCTTGAAGCGGTTACTGAGCATCAACACAAGTCTATCAGCATCTCCCATAACTCTTTTCGTCCCCTAATTACACTGCTTCCGATACTTTACTCGGCTGTGTTCCCTGGCCGTCTCTCATTTGCCAAAACTCCTCGTTCTGCCGCCCACGTCCATTGATCAGCCCCCTGATATCGAAAGGATCAATGAGTGTCTGCCAAAGCTTCCTTGGATCCTTATACCCAGGCCCCTCAATCTCCGTGATCCCATCAGGAGAGAGGTAAATCTTGTTATTTCTGGGCAGATATCGTCGTGGATGGCGGACGTTGAACATGACGAAATTGATGAGCATGACAGCCGCTTCGAACACGTAAAAGTACCACTCGTATCTGACAACAGGGTTTATGGTCGCCGGATCAAAGTCTTTTCCATATCGAAGCTCTGCGACGCTGAAATATTCGACGATGCGGTAGATGGTTCGTGAAAGGATCAGTACCATGCTGACGTATAGCGTCCATAACGAGCTTGTAAGTCGCTCGTTGTGGATACCATTGGCGGCACATCGACGATCGAATGTAACAGCCAGCGCAATAAACAAAACTGCTACAATAACCTGTAGCAGCAAAGACGTCTTGATGAGAGCGTGGCCCGCCTCAATCTCGCTGTCAGTCAGCGACTGATTTGCCGAGTACGACGCCCCCCAGCCGTTGAGGGCCTCAACGATAGCAGATATGAATCCAAACGTTGTCAAAACTCTGCCAGGGTGTATAGGGGAGTGGTACGGAACGTAGTACAGGATCCGACCAAGGATGCGGTAGTTTTGCAGTTCAAGGAGCGGGCTGCCGATGGTCAATACACATACCACAGCGTCACGATGCAACTTACGGCGCAGCATAAGTAATACAAACACTTGCAATAAAGATGTAGAGGTTGTCATAGTGAAATGCTCCATATACTCTCAGTGCGAAGCCAGCTGTGAATAGCAGAGAGCAGAATTGGAACAGGGGTGTTAGCTTCCAGCACTTGTAACAACTGCCACGAATGTTAGCATCGCATCGCATCGCTCCATGTTTTCTAAATGAATATTCCAGTAACAACTTACATACACTGCCATATATGAAAACAGCCTGTCAGAAAGAATGCGATACAAAAGAAAATAGCGGCGCCCGTATTAGGAGCATAGAACCAGTAGCTGCCATCAACTATTGTCATTGTTAGATTTTCCGAATCATCGAATATATCAAGTATTTCACAATACCATATTCGCCGTTCGACATATTAGTGACCCAAGGTGTTATTCGGTTGAGTGTAAATCGTCGAGATTCGCTCTTGTCAAGAACTTTGTGGAATAACTTGAAGATTTCTTTCCCACAAGAGTACCGATAGTCCTTATATAGCATCTATGGCCTAGAACAACGAACAGGATCTCCCAGATCTCCTTTCAAGACCTACCTCTCATCTCGTTGACACTGAAACCAATTGTTAGTTTGAGCCCTGTGATAGTGATTCAGCCAATGGGCAGGCGATGCGAGGAATACGGTTCTTCAGCTAGTGGATCATGCCGATCACTCACAAGTACATGGAGGTCTACCATAAGTATCTTTCGCTAGTCAATAGCCGCTCAGGTACTTGTGATGGGCGAGTAAATACTTGGCTCGTTCCTCTCGTTTTCCCCGTATTCATCGCATTGTCGGCTTCCGCTCACTACCTCTCCGTCTATTAGTTTTCGTATCTCTCGCATAATGAACTTGGTCCATGTGCCTCGGGCTACCTTACCTACCTAGGCAGAGCTATACTAGGCGCCTCTCCTGTCAAGTTCGATCTGGAAGTGTGTGCAACGAGACAGATTGTGATGTGAGGGAAGAGTAACATGTTGAGAAAAGAAGCCTAATATACAATTAAAAACCAGAGTAATGTCGTAATAACTCGCTCATAGGGACTCCTGAGCCCAAATAGACAAATTCTCAGCAAAGATGTAGAACTCCATCCATATATTGAACCCTACGTTGGCTCCGTTCCAAACGCCCAACCAAGACGTCTTGCTCCATCTCTGCAACCCTGTCATGCCGTCAAGTACCTCCGTGCAGTCATTAAACGTTCTCATACACATTCCCCATAAGTCCTGCCCCATTCTCCAGCATACCGCGTATGTTAGATGTGATTAGTCAACCCCCCAGCTTCGGCTGTCGTCCGATGATGAGGGCCGCCTGTTCAGTTCACTCTGTCCTGTGGATCCCTTGCTCGCATTGGTGGTTTTACTGCGATGTCTACTGTGTCGCTTTCCTGGACCACTGCGATGATTCTGTTGCTGGTTTTCATCATCGCTCCAGTCGCTGAACTCGCTTCCCGAGTAGTCCCATTGAACCGGTATCTCTTCGCCATCTTCACCATATCCATATACAAGACCTCGCCACTGTCCCGAAGCAATTTTGGCTGCGACCCTGAGGATAAGCCGAAGAAGAGAGCTGGGGGGGCCCATGATCATTTCGCAGGTTTTAGCAATGATGGCCATTGGTAGACTCTTGACAGTCTCCAGTTTACTTCTATAGGGTTGTCGATCCATGGTTGAAGCTGGAGTGAAAAGATCCGCGGCGGGAGGTAGAGGGGATAGCGCCCGTCGCCGCACCGAAAGGCTGCTCGTCGTCGCTCTATGGCGAGGAGCAAATGGTCGCTGTGGTGGTGTTGCTGTCGACAGAGCTGCTTTGGGTTCAGCAGCGACTGTATCTTCCGTCGCCAGTGTTGCGCCCTTCTGAGACGCCTCGCTATTGTCCGAGTCGGCATCAGATTCCCAGGCACATGGCATTGGTGAGCTTCCCCTACTTCGGGACGTTTGCCTCTGCCATCTTTCAACGGAAAGAGTGTCCGTCTCTTTCGGTTCTTTCTTCGCCTGATTGGCAGACTTCGTTTGTGAAATAGGGGGTGCATGATGCACGACAGCACCTGTTGAATGCCATGACTCAACGCTGTGGAAGGATTCCTCGCTATCTCGCCGTTGCAGTCGTGGTTGTTGTACGAGTCCATTTGACTGAGCGGATTGTGAAGAGCGCGATTCTCCCTTGGCATTCTTTCCAGCCGACTTAGGAGTGACCGGCTTAGGAGTGACAGGAGCACGAGGTGGGGGTCTTCTTGATGTTTCTGAAGCACTTCTCACGACTGGGGCGCGTGGTGTAGAGGCCCGCGGTGTAGAGGCTCGTGGCGTAGGAGCTGCAGGTGCAGACCTATCTATTGTCGGCATCAAGTGTGGGGGCATTGTAGCCGATCTTGTTGTCGTAAATCCTGCGGTTCGTCGTCGAAGCCTGGCCTTCATACGGCCTCCTCGATTACCGGAGCCTTCATGTAACTGATAGACGGACAGATCACTTTGGGTAGGGCTAGTTGAGAGTAACGACGACGTATCGTCAAGTACCCCTACGTCGCTAACGCATGATGGAGAGCTGTAGGACTCAGGGAGGCCGGATAAGAAGGAGTATGAATTGTGTTCGCCTGAACGTTCCGGCACCATGTCCAAGTGCCTTGAGTGAGATTCGCCCGTGTTTCCACCCATCGGCTGCAGAGGATCAAGATGCATCCCGTACTCCTCATACAAAGATATATTTGAGGGTACCACGCAGGATGCTGCCCTCGCAGGCCTACCAATATGCGGGCTCGGGGGGATGTCCATAGGACGCCTGTCACTTCGTCTATCATTTGAAGGCGTAGGTGTAGTAGTTCTCCCAACGAATGACGATCTCCGAGAACCAGCAGACGATATCGAGGCGACATCGTCAGGTATCGTGGGTTGAGAGCGAGGTGTCCAGGGTAGGATAGTAATGGGAACTTGCTCTGGTAGATCGACTGTAAATGTGCGCTTGAAGGGGCACTCGGTCTTTTCAAATTGGAGAACGTTATTGAGCACTTCTCTCAATTCTTCAGCTCGCTGTTGGTCTTCGGGGTCGTCGACGGGAACTTCAATCCTCCAATAATTCGGTCGACGGATCTGTAAAATAAATTTGCTGTTTACTTCATCTATGCACCAACATTGGCTTTTTCGTAAGATAGGCTGTAGAGCAGAACCGCAGCTCAAGAAAGCTACGGATCGCGGGGCTCGGTAGATGCGAAACGGCCCTGGTAGGGTTCTTAGCAATGGCCACGAAGCGATCCCAGACCAAGTACTTACCAACGGCAATGGTCCTTTCCAGCTGCGAGGACCATGATAGAGTGCCAGGTGGGTCAACATTGCTTGGAGCAGGACTTCTCGCAAAGGCTCTCCCGGTAGCTGTAAATGATATGATCTTGACATTTGGATGACTGTAGAGAGTTTCGACGAGGTCTTGTTCGGGTATATCTGAGCTCACAGAATCTCGGCGTGGCATCGGGGAGGTTGACCCTCTTCTAGGTGCCCGGTGCGGCGGGAGATCATCCATCGAGTTATCCATGTTGGATTATATTTCGCGATAGTCGTCTTTCTTGTAGCGCAAACGGGTGTTTTCTTTTCGTTTCCTTCAGCTAGTCCGCAGCTTAAGCATTTTGGCGAGAGAAAGAGGAAGGGGTGTTCATATCTGCGCTAAGTTGGTGTTGGGTTAATTGCGCCGGACCGTGAAGAGTTGTCGTGGATCCCCCAGTGACTGGCGAGGGAGAATTGATAGGTTCAATGAAGAAGGCGCTCTCAAAGGGGGTAACAGTAACGGACAGAGAGTCCTCGATATGTGAGTGAATAGTATGTCGAATCGAACAAGAAGGTGGCTGGTACAAAACCCACTCGTTTCTTTTCGCTCCCTCGAATTGACTATAGAAGTGCTCGCTCGTTGAGGTGACGGCTGGGTCATTTGCAGGGGGCATGACTTCTTTAGAGGGGCCTTTTGCCTTAGTCATCCATATTGACGTCCATTCCAAGGCCCGCTGATCCCGCCATCCCGCCCCTTGAATCCCTGATACGGTTAGAAGGTTGAGAGACAAGGACATGGACATGGACATGGATGGAGATATTTTGTGCAGCAAGAGTTCCCATCAAGTCAAGGCAAGTCAGGTCAAGTTTCACAAGCGCCCAAGGTTACAGATATGAGCTCCTCGTACGATGAGAGCTTGTCAGAACCGGGCTCGTCATTCGATCATCAAGTGTATGTCTCTCCGTCTCACGATTTTAATCTCCATAGATAGCTGAAGAGGTTTCTATATTCATCTTCCTTACACTCGGTTGGCCCTTGCATACGGAGCTGCGAGCGCCACTTCAGTGCAGTTGTGCTACCCTAGCTAACTGTCTAGTGGCAGATTGAGGAATTAGTGGGCGATGCAATCTAACAGTAAAGCCAATAGCGAGACTTCTCAGCTACTGACTGTGTCAATAAGAAAAGCATCTGTCTCGGCCCTGAGCTAACAGGGTCCTCTCTTTAACGATAGTCCTTCTTTGTGATGCCTCACAGTCTCAGAAGAAGATTGTGGTTCTGGCACAGTAATTTCTGCCAGAATCACAGAAGCTCTATTTCATATTTGGTTCTCTTACATGTGATTCTATCTGACAAATAAAACAGCAAATATCTAGGTGGTTGCTCAAACCACCTTACTCGGGACCTGGTTCGTTCAGTAACCGAGTTGCTTCAATCTCGAATAGTCCTGAAAGCCAATAGATACGATTACAAGGAAGTAAGACGGGCAGCACCTCAATTTCTGGATATCAATACAAACCACCTAACCTATGAGGAAAGCTTAGATTGTAGGTAGCTACTTCCTCGGTACCTGTATCTGCGAGATAATTCCCGATTTTTTCTGGATCCTAATGCAGAGCTACTGCCAATCTGGAGCAAGCTTGCCCAAGCCATGATACTTACGTCACCTTACAGTCTCACTCAATCCACATCATCATTCCAAGCTGTCTTTCGACGTTCCACGTCAGGCACCTCTCGAGTTCCTGAATATCACTGCTAACGTTAGATCCAAATCTCAACCACAACCTAAGACGCCTGTATCCTCAACAATTTTAGAGGCTCCCTTGGTTTTGTTTATCAAATTTCCGCGTCTCGTACAGTTAGTTCATCCATTCAAGTTCAAGCTCAAGCTCAAGCTCCAAAACAGCCCAAGCTTTGTTTCTCGGAGCTCCGTTAGACATTCGCTACCTTGTCTTCCCAATATGTCGTCGAGCGAGAAGTCAAGTATCGATAAAGAAAGATTGAAGGAAAAGCTCGAAGAGAAACTTGATGTTTCACACTTTGACCCCAACACGGTGATCCGTGGAGCTCAGTTGACCCTGGTAGGAGGTGAGTCTGGGTCTGGGTCTGAGTCTTCCTCAGTCCATCATCACCAGAAAAAAACCTTCTTAATTAACATCTCATCTAGCTCATCGAGCGCTTCAGAATCCAGCACTCTTTACCACCGATCACTATCGCCAAGCTGCCATTGCCGTTGTAGCTGGCCTCGCCATTAGACTCATCATCTCTGTGCCGGCAAGTCCTGCCTAACGAATGGTACAAGCTCACAACAAAACTAATAAAACCAAACAGATCATTGGAATTAAAGTGCTGCTATGGTTCATCTCATTCTTTACGGATCTCGAAGCGGTAACATGGGATGATACCCTGTTAGAAGGCCTTGACTTTGTTGCAGAATATGTCCTTCAAGTGCCCTTCTTCCTCATGACCCTCATGCGCTATGTAGTGCCGACTCTTGATAACTTGTTAGTCCATCCTCAGATATTTCCCTCGATTACATCTAACCAGTTTCTCATAGGTTCATGCAGTCGTTGCAGTGGGTGGATATGACCTATGTTCAAAAGCACAAAGGCGAAAAAGTCTCTGAGCTTCGCGATATGTACTATCCCAATCTCAAGATGTACCGACCATCAGACGGAAGCACACATTCTGAAAGCACCGCTCAAGCCGTGTCAATGTTCCTTTACCGCTTCCTTCGAAAGGGTGGTATCTCCCTTGCTGTTTTTGCCCTCTCGTACACTCCATACGTTGGCCGCTTCGTTTTGCCCGCTGCAAGTTTCTACACCTTCAATAATGCAGTGGGCTTAGGGCCTGCTTCTGCGATATTCGGTACAGGCATTTTCCTCCCTCGCAAGTACCTTGTTGTCTTCCTTCAGAGCTATTTCTCTTCCAGGACTTTGATGCGAGAACTGTTGGAGCCTTACTTTGCCCGAGTACACTTTACCAAGGAGCAGAAGCGAAACTGGTTCCGCAGCCGAGAAGGAGTTTTGTTCGGCTTTGGTCTAGGCTTCTATATTCTAGTCAGAATTCCTCTTGTTGGTGTGCTGGTCTATGGCATTGCTGAAGCATCAACGGCGTATCTGATCACCAAGATTACCGACCCGCCACCACCTCCTCAGCAAATGAAGGAGTTTGCCGAAGGACAACAGAATTGGTCTAACAAGCACGAATTCCTGAACCTGTCTCTGGCCAACATCGACTCGGTTCATAATGAAGAGTTGAAGAAGATGAAATAGCCGAACTAGTCTCTAGTTACCTCATACCTATGGGTCACAACCAGGCTTCAATAGTCGCATGACTTTGCTACGACAAAGCATAACCGAATACGGTTAAGTAATCACGATTGGCTATGCCTCTGTTACAAGCAGCCCCCGAAGAAAGCTGAGGCATATTTCTTCATGTTCTCCAATCATGTCGCACCTGGAATGATCAGATTCCGAATCTCAAGATTCACCGAGAAGTCTTAGTACCAACTCGTTGCAGAATAACTTGAAGATCACTACCTCTTGGCTTCTTTACCTAAACACTTCTGAACCATCGGTTATGACTTCACGAATGCATAGTTCTGCGATACAATAAAAATGGTGTTTCCACACAACCACCCTTGTTATTCATGCTAATGGTCATATATGAGGTCTCGCGTGTGTTTGTAAAGCTCGTTATGCAAAGACAAAAAAGATGCTTCCCAGTGTACCAATATACATATACTCAAGGCATCTAGGGTCGAACTGACGCACTTGGTGCCAGTCACGCGTCGAGAATGACGGAGAAGCTCTGATGGGCGGTGTCGGTACGATGTTGCTTGACAGCTCTGTCTCCCTGTCCGATAAAGTCGCAACCAAACGTATCACACCTGCGCAGAACATTGTCGCCTTCATCTTGAATTTCACTCAGGGCCACGTGACCTGTCGCTGCTGCGTGCTTCTGTCCCTCGCGCTGGCCACTGCCAATCCATTCACACCCTGGTACATCGCATCTCAAGATCAAACCATCTGTATCAGTATAGTAATGAGCCTTGTTCAGCTTCTTGACAAGTTCTTCGCTCTTCTTGAGAACTTCATCGTCATCGGTAGGCCAGATGGTTCGATCAAGCTCGGGGGGGAAGGAGGGGGAATTGTAAGGAGGGTCACAGTAACTGAAAGCGACCCGGTCATAGTGAATTCCAGAGTACAGGAGAATGCAGCGATCGCGCTTTTCTTCTCCAAAATCGATCTTGTTCTGCGTCTGATTGGCTATTAGTGACAGAGCAAAGCCAAACATGGACATTGACCGACCTGGACATCAAATGTACATATCTGGATATCAAAGATAGAAGATAGTATGCTGAGCTCGATACCACCACCCCATCTGTCAGGCTCCTGGATTTTGCGGCAGTATTCGCCGGGCGGGCTACCAAGAACAGCTGCCGAATATTCTTCTGGGTGTTCGCGAATATATTCTGCCATCATTCCTCTCAATTTTTGTGCAGGAATCTGGTCTTTTAATGCGCCTCCAAATGCAGTGAACAGACAGCTATTGTCGCTGGGCATCACTCTTAACACTCTCCAGTGTTAGCTTCTATACAACTAAGCGCCATATCCTTCTACTTACAAAGAGCACCCTCTTGTTCCGGCCAAGGCACATTAACATCTTCTGGACTTTCGTTCTCCCTCGCAGCCTTGGAAGCCTCAGCCTGATGTTGGACGGTCCCGGTTTGGGGGCTCTCGACGGAGGTAGATAATGACTCGTCAGGAACAATGGTGAGTGTTTCGCCATGAAGACCAAGAGATCGAGCAATCTGATCGTTTTGGGAGGCATCAAGAGATTTCATCGCCATAGGCGGACCGTATTTGACGCCAAATTTGGCAATTCCAGTCTTGGTTTTGATTCCATCAAAGAGGGCTTGAACAGTAGCATCGTCCGGTAATTCAAGGATGCCTGTACCGGCCGGGCCTTTATAACGAGCACGCATGACGGCTTTTTTCTAAAACGTTCAAGGGTTTGCTGTCCAGTCGTCTGGTTGATAAGGTTTGGACTTTAAGTCTAGAAGTTAATCTTGAATGGATGTTGATGGCAAGCTGCGGTTGGAAGGCGAGGAATCGGGAAGAAGCTCTAAGAAGGCAACAACAGACGCCAGGCATAAACCAAAGACCAAAGTCTAAAGTCTCAATGAGTTATCGGTGATCAGCCAACAGAATTTAATTGTCTAATTGACCGCTTTCGCCGGGAAAAAAAAAAGGTGTTTATATAAAGACGATGTGCAACACAAGTGAATCAATGATAAGCTGGCTGCAGCATCTCTACCCATCTCATGTGAGTCTTGGTAGGTACCTAGGTACCAGGTCAAGTGGAGATATTGACACCCGCTTTCAGGGACGACCCTCTAGCCGCTTTGGGAAACCAGCATCGCGCGCAAACACACGCGCTCAATTGCACTTACTTCCAATAGCAGTTCAGCAATCAAGCTTCGTCTTGAACTTTCGCAACACCCATTGTTGTTTTTACGCGACTTACATTGTCATGCCAATGAATTCATAGACTATACTGCGACTTTTTCCAAACATCCGTACTGCAACGACTTAATTAACGGATCGCAAATAGACCCGAGTGGTTCCACGAGCTCATCATGTCCACTCGGAGGACGAACGCGACAGAGGTGCGCGAATCGATCGAGGCCAGAACCGCCGGCACCGACGTCGATATGAAGGATGCGATGGACAACGATGTCGATGCCGAAGGTGATCCCGATGTCGATATGGACGCTGAGGGTGACGAGGACGCAGAAGGCGAGGTCGACGACGAGGGACGCCCTGATATGTATCGGTTGATTCATAACCTGTCGACCTATCTTTGCAGTGTCGAAGACGAGTACGCCTACTATGCATGCCCTGGGTGACAGTAGCTGACGCTGAGTGATTTATAGCGGGGAGCAACTTGCTGCTGGCTTCCAGCGCATTCCCAATCGACGAGCCTTACCCGACTACTTCGAAATCATTTCCGAACCTATTGCTTTCAGCACTATCCGTGTAGGTTGGCGTAAATTTTCGACCTTAACGATACCAATGCTGATTGTTCTTTAGGGCAAAACTCAGAAGAAGCAATACAATTCGTTTGCTGAATTCGTTCGAGATGTGGCACAAATTTGTCATAACGCCCAGGTCTACAACCGCCCCTCTGCTCCTATTTTCGGTGCCGCCGTTCGATTGAGAGAGATCCTTATTCAGGAGCTCGGAAAGCTGGTGGAAAAAGGGCACATCACTGCGAGTGATGCGCAATTACCTGATCTGGGTGAGCTTCCACCCGCGGAAGAGTCGCCGCCAGCGGAAGATGAAGACGACGACGAGGAAGACGAAGAGGATGAAGATGACGATGAGGATGAAGACGACGACGATTCGGACGATGATGGTGGACGACGTCGGGGACGAAGACGACGTGCTTCTGGGCGCAAAGACCAAGACAAAGACTACGAAGATGATTCGCATAAGCGAAGGGGGCGACCTCCAAGTGTGCTCACTCCTAATGAAGCTCGCATTGCTTCTCTTTTGAAGGGTTTGAGAAAGCCCAGGGATGCTGGGGGGCATCTTCTTGTGCATCCCTTTGAGAGGTTGCCGGATAAGGCGGCCGTTCCTGATTACTATACAACGATACAGAATCCCATTGCCCTGGACAACATCAAGAAGAAGGCGAAGCGGAAGAAGTACCAAAGTGTCGACCATGCACTACAAGACCTCAACCTCATGTTCGAGAATGCCAAGCGGTATAACGAGGATGATAGCGAAGTGTACAAAGCCGCTGCCGAACTCCAGAAGGAGGCCCATCTCTTGGCGGAACAGGAGAAAGCCAAACCCGACGATGACTTCCGAGACGAAGACGGCAAGCTGCCTCTAGCGGAAATCCATCACAATGGGCAAACATGGAAAGTTGGTACGTGCACAAGAACATCTTGCACAATAGCACTTCTGCGTTGTATACACCACTAACAGTGAGCAGGGGACTGGGTTCACATTAAAAATTCCAATGACCTGGCAAAGCCTACCGTAGCCCAAATTTATCGAACTTGGCAAGATCGTGCTGGTCACAGATGGATCAATGCCTGCTGGTACTACCGACCAGAACAAACTGTACATCGTTATGAAAAGCATTTCTATGAACATGAGGTGGTCAAAACTGGACAATACCGCGATCACCAGATTGAAGAGGTCCTGGACCGCTGCTTTGTCATGTTTGTGACACGCTTCAATAAAGGTCGTCCCAGGGGATTTCCTCCTGATAAGGAGATTTACGTGTGTGAATCTCGTTATAACGAAGAGAAGTTCACATTCAACAAGATCAAGACTTGGGCAAGCTGTGTGCCGGACGAGGTGCGCGACAAGGACTATGAAATGGACCTTTACGATGTACCTCGGCGCATGAAAAAGATCCCAAGTCCAATTAAACATTTGCTTCGCGAGGATGCAAAAGAAACAGATGAACTGCCCAAACCAACATGGGGAAGCCCAAATGCTCCTCCGATAGTTGGAGCGGTGCATCGCCGTCCACGGGAAGTCAATGTAAGTGAAGCATGTTCGTTTGCCTCTTTGTTTGTTTGTTTTGCTTGTTTTTGTGTCCGCGCCTTATGTACCTTGTCTCTTTTTTTCTGCCGGTTCCCATCACCCGCGCATCTCTCTCGAGTCAACGCCTGATCATCAGCATCGTTCCTTCCTGCCTCAGGCTTGCCAGCCAATTGTTTACAATCGTCCTATCATATATGTTCACTTTTGACTGACAATAATTCTTGCAGGAATCACCTCCTCCAGAACCCACGCCTCCCCCACAAACTATGTCGGCTGTTCCACTAGCTGATGCTGGTGCTGATGCTGGCAGGCGCGCGTCAATGTTATCAGTTCCTGGAGCTATGCCTGGCGACCATTCAGCTCGACATCCCTCAATTTCTTATCCGGGGGGTCCGTCACCTTCGCCTGTCCCCTACAACGCTCATATGACGCCCCATTTTCAACCAGTCACTCCAGGAGCCCAGCCCCCACAAGTTCATCAGACGCCGGTTCCTATCCCTCATCCACCCCATCTCGGTCCTCAACCTCAGGTTTCCGTGCGACCTGTGCAATATCAGCACCAGCCTCAACATCAACAGGCAGGGTATACACAAGGCTTCACTCCCAACTATGGGCAGCCGGTGCCTCCCATGCATCAACAATCCCCAATGGGAAACCACATGGCCCAGGCATACAATCAAGCAGCTGCCCAGCCTGTTGCGCGTAGCCCTATGCCCCCTACACCAGGAATACCAGTGCAAAGCGGTAATGCGTACAATCCACCGAGGCCCCCAGAAGTCTATGCCCTCCCCGACAATGTGAATGAGGCTCTACCGAAGGAGGTCCGAGAGACGTTCCAGAGTGACAGCAATGGACGAGTTCTCTTCTTCACTGCTCCACCTCTCGAGAGGCCTCACAAAGGAATTTCTCATGAGAGCGCAGGACTTGGTCATAGTGCCAGGTATCTTGCAGGTTTGGCAGAATGGAGAGCAGAGAGAGAAAAGAAGAGAAAGGAGCGCGACGAGAGGAACGCTGAAGCTTCGCGGAAGAAAGTCGAAAAGGACGTTGCCGATGCGCAAGCAGTCGAGAAGGAGATCGTTGCTCAGGCTAGTGAGGCCATGGCTAGGTGGCTTGTACAGCATGACAGCGACACTCACAAGTGGACAAAGGAGGCTGGCCTTGAAGGCTGGCACGAAGCGACAAAAGTCAACAAAGAAAAGGAAAACCGTCCTACGGCAAACTAGATAGCGACGATTGCGGAAAAAACATGGGGTATAGGCGCCTGGGGTATGCTATCCAATCTTAAGAAGGCGAAACCAGGTTACATGCTAAGTGCGAGAATTAGGAGTATTGGGGTTTAGTATTTATTAATTATATCTTTCTGGATCCAGTCTCGGAAATTAGTGATGCAACTTTGTAACGTTATCACTTCTGTCGGCTTTGGCAGTCTTAGACTCTTGGCATGCCGGACTACTAAATCTTATAAGGTCTCTGTGTCGATCACGGCGGTCTCGCCTGTATGTCTCGGTCGATATGTTAGTAATGGATTGTGCCTGACCAACGGTCGGTAGGACGTGCTATCAGTCCTTGCTAAGAGGTAATTATTCTCTATTGCATGTGTTTTCACTTCGTTATAACGCTATGCGACAGAGACTTCGAGATTATCGGAAGAGCTTGTTGGCTACTATATTGATTCAGTTTTTGAGTTTCATCATGCTTCTGCCATGTCTACCCTAAAGTCGCTGGGTACAGCCTTCTTACGTCCATGTCCAAGTTCGAGCATGACCCATTCGTATACAGCCCATTGAACGGCATTGACAATGAAGGCTCGAACACTACAAACAGTCAGCCCTCGGAAGAAAACACGGGATCCCCCTTCACGATACGCTTCCTGTGCAACTTGAAGAGCACCTGCTCGTGAAGTCCGTAAAGATCCGTTTGATTGCAAGAGAGGTGATGTTTCCGCCAGTCCAACAGCAGTCTGAGCCTGAACCCTCGTCTTGATGACATCGAGGGGAAAGATACTAGCCCAAGTGGCCACGCCGGCTAATCCTCCACAGAACAAGACCTTGGCGGCTTCATGATGAAATGAAGTTTGCTCATCAGGTTCGGTAGCTAACCAACGGGTGCTCAATTCATACGACCAGAAATAGAATCCATAGCCAACACTGTCTCGTAAAGCAGTCACAGTTCCACCAAAGTAAAGACCTCGAACTCCTTCTTGTCTCCATATCTGTTTGGTGATAGCCCAGCTTGACATTGGGGGAGAAGCCAATTGCGCTCTGCACTTGATGAGCTCGGTAGGGGTGCTGACGATCCATGTCGCAAGGCCGCCCACAGCGCCAGCGATCCAAGTGTTCCATAGACTGTCGGACGTCGAGGAAATGCTGTTCAGTGCAGACTCTGTGCGGTTGTAGGAAACAAAGAGTAGAGCATTCAGAGCGCCATAACCGAGAATTGGCGCCGCCGTCCCAGTCACTAAAGACGTATATGATCCAAGGAAACGTGTGCCGAGTGAGGTGCTCTGATTAATTGCAGAAGCTGCCACTGATGTCCCTGTAGGAATGGAGGAAGAGGGCAGACTTGTTACTGGGCTCGTTCGCTGTGCTTGCCGTCGTACTTTGATTACATCAAGAGGATTTCCGATGATGATACCAACAGCGCCGCTTAGATAGCCGGCCCAGAAGTCGGCCGACATGCTGGCTATCGTTTTACGACTTTACAGGCGAAAGAAGAAGATCCGACCTGGTTGCGACTTTACGCTGCGCAACAGTAATAGTGCTCAACACACCGAGGTAAACGAGACCCCAGGCCAATCCGAGACGGGCAAGAGGAAGTCGATTTGCAGTGGCTTGGACATTGATTCGCTGAAATCTAGTAAGGTATTGCCAATGAGCAAAATGACCAGCGACTGTAGCAGTCACGATCTTAGTACGGTGTTGAGCAATTGCGACTTGAAGAGGGGTCAGCCCAAAGGATTCATGCTCGGCAAGGACATCTCCACCGAGCGATCGGCTTTGATCGGGGCTAGAGAGATTAACGCTTGAAGCATGTGTTGGTTAGTTATCCAGGGTCTTTAAGAGCCGCATACTGAGAGGGCAGGTGATCAGCGAGCGATGTTGACCTACCCTGACGGCGCTGCAACAAGTGGGCTTTCAGATATCATCTTTGGCTTGGCTCTTGGCTATATTGGAGGCAACAAGACTGAGGATAAGGAGAATTGAGAGTAGAAATGCATGTCTTGCCACCAGCTCATCATGGACCGAGTAATGACTTGATTCTCTTTCGCTTAGGTAGGCTTAGGTAGTTACCTAAGCTAGTGGACCTGAAGTCTAAGTCCAAGCTTTCTTTAACCGACCGTTTCAGGGTCTCCTATTGATTGTTTGTGTGAAGTGAACTATGAGGTTGCGCGCACTAAAGCATAAAAATGCTGGGTGGCCACTCACGTGATAGCGTGTGTCTGCCTGCAGTAGTCCCGTCGCGTCGAGTCATCCATCGCGCCTACCTGCCTACCTCTTTCCCTCCATCGATTCCTGTCTGGTGGCAAAGGAAATTTCAAACTTGAACAACATCCCACCAAGGCTTCACATAGAAAAGGGTCTTCAAGATGGGAGCAGCGTAAGTTTTCACATATTCTCTAACTTGCCATTGCAACTTCTAATGCAGTATTCAGGTCACCACTTGTGGCAACGCCACTTGCCGGCAAGGACAAGACTTTCGGCAAGAGAATGCCAACACCTTCCTCAGTCGACCGACTTCACAAACCATTCAAATGTCCTGGAGTCGCTGGAAGAAGTCCGGCTGTGGACCGACCATCACGCAAGCGAAGAAAGGTTGACTATGGTGGTGCCGACGGCGAAGCAGACACAGACAAGCCATATTCCAACGATGACAGACTCGCGCTCGCCACTCGAGACATCAACAAATATCCTGTTTTCGCGGCCAAGGAGAAGGGTCTTGTATTTCGTAAGGCCTTTTCTGTGCCATTGAAGAACAAAGATATCGCTGCGTACAATCCCAATCGCGCTCCTCCTACTCTCGGTCTTCGACAGGGCGCTGTCTTTGTCGCCAAGCCGCTTCACGATCCTAGCGGCGAGTTTGCCATTGTACTTTACGATCCCACAGTCGACGACAAGCCGAAAGATACACCCAAGGCTATTGAGCCTGCCAAGACACAGGCTTCCGAGGAGAAACTTGATGCACCTCTGGTCCACAAAAGTCTTGCTGAGATCCTCGGCATCAAGAAGAAAGTGGACGGAGAGCATCCTCGGGTTCCGGTAGTCATTGATCCAAAGCTCGCCAAGATTCTGCGCCCACATCAAGTGGAGGGTGTCAAGTTCATGTACCGGTGTGTCACTGGTTTGATTGACGAGAAAGCCAATGGTTGCATTATGGCCGACGAGATGGGTCTGGGAAAGACCCTTCAGTGTATCTCCCTCATGTGGACGTTGCTCAAGCAATCCCCCGATGCTGGCAAACCAACCATTCAGAAGGCTATCGTTGTTTGCCCTGCGAGTTTGGTCAAGAATTGGGCCAACGAATTGACTAAATGGCTTGGTGCTAATGCTATCAATCCATTTGCTATCGACGGAAAGGCGTCTAAGGAGGAGCTGACGCGCCAACTCCGACAGTGGGCGATTGCGAGCGGACGAGCCGTTACTCGGCCAGTCATCATCGTCTCTTATGAAACTCTACGACTGAACGTGGAAGAGCTCAAGCATACAAAGATCGGCCTACTATTTTGCGATGAGGGACATCGTCTCAAGAATAGTGACAGCAATACCTTCAACGCTCTCAACAGTCTCAATGTTTCTCGGCGTGTCATTCTCACAGGTACACCTATTCAAAACGATCTCACGGAATACTTTTCGCTCACAAGTTTCGCGAACCCTGATTTGTTGGGAACGCGTCTGGAGTTCCGCAAACGGTACGAAATTCCAATTCTGCGAGGTCGCGATGCAGACGCGTCTGAAGCGGATCGTAAGAAGGGTGATGAGTGTACTGCAGCTTTGCTAGGTGTAGTGAATAAATTTCTGATTCGCCGCACCAACGACATTCTTTCCAAGTACTTGCCTGTCAAGTATGAGCATGTTGTTTTCTGCAATCTCGCACCGTTCCAGTTTGACCTTTACAACTACTTCATCAAGAGTCCCGAGATTCAGGCTCTTTTGAGAGGTAAAGGAAGTCAGCCCCTCAAGGCTATCAACATTCTCAAGAAACTTTGCAACCATCCTGATCTGTTGAACATGGCGGATGATCTGCCAGGTTCGGAGAAGTGCTATCCTGATGACTATGTTCCCAAGGAAGCTCGTGGACGTGATCGCGAGGTCAAGTCTTGGTATTCTGGCAAAATGGCGGTCCTGGATCGTATGCTTGCCCGTATCCGACAAGACACAAACGACAAGATTGTTCTGATCAGCAATTACACTTCAACACTGGACCTCTTCGAGCGACTATGCCGATCTCGCCAGTACGGAAGTCTCCGTCTGGACGGAACCATGAATGTCAACAAGCGTCAGAAGCTCGTCGATCGGTTCAACGATCCTGAAGGCGATGAATTTGTCTTTCTACTCAGTAGCAAGGCTGGTGGATGTGGTATTAATCTCATTGGTGCCAATCGCCTAGTCCTTTTCGATCCTGACTGGAACCCTGCGGCTGATCAACAGGCGCTGGCCCGAGTATGGCGTGATGGCCAGAAGAAGGACTGTTTTGTGTACCGCTTCATCGCAACTGGTACCATCGAGGAGAAGATCTTCCAAAGACAGTCGCACAAGCAGAGTTTGTCTTCCTGCGTCGTGGACTCGGCGGAAGATGTGGAACGACATTTCTCTCTCGACAGTCTACGCGAGCTGTTCCAGTATCGGGCAGATACCAAGAGCGACACTCACGAGACGTTCAAGTGTAAGCGATGCAAGCCTGACGGCAAGCAGTACATCAAAGCACCGGCTATGTTGTACGGTGATACGAGTACATGGAACCATTTTGTCAACGAGGGATTGAAGCCCATTCAGGACCTACTCCTCAGACAAGAGTGCGGAGAGTCGGAAGTATCTGCCGTGTTCCAGTACATCTCCCATTGAGCTACCAGTTGTGTATTCTTTTATGATTTATGTTCACGAGACATGCAAGGCGTTATTGTGGATTCCTGGCGTTCAAAGGCTATTGTTTGAAGAGGTAGACCCAAGGCCGGCTTATTAGACTACTTTGACTGCAAGCTGCACTTGGTGGATGAGTCTAGATAGATTATTGAATGTCATGAGCGACCCAAGCAATTTGGGTCATAGTTCAAGTCGTCTCAAGTGGGTGAAGTCAAGCAATGGCAAGTTGAGAACGGAATGTAATAGTGCAAGCTGATTAATTAGTATGCATTAAACCTATCTGTGTCAATACAGAACTTATCGCAACGTAATTTCACAATAAAATTGGTCGATATGTCCTGTACCATCGCTCCAAAGGTCTAAGTCATGAGAGAGGTCGACCACAGTGTGTATAGTCAAGTGCGATAGTCGTACACTGTCTGAAGCTAAACAAACTTTTACATCCATGTCAGTTTAACCAGGACATTCTCGAATACATCAACTTACAACTTTACACCACAATCATTTTGTATCAGCGGCTATTTGTCAAAATAACAAACGCTTGTATTGCTCTTCATCGTTGCAAGAAAAAAAAACCAGCAAAAATGTCTTCTAAACCCACAAACCAATCCTCTCCAGAATTCACATCTTACTACCTCCAGCGGGCTACACAAGAGCTTTCCGAGGATCTGGACAAGGTTCGCAACGCCGAAGATTTCAAGGCCGACTCCATCCCTTTCCTTGTCCATGCCCTTCAGCAGGGTGCGGGACTCTTCTCGCCTGAGGATCAGAAGCGAGTGGTAGCTGAGCCTAAGGGCAAGGAAGGCGATGCGTGAAGGGAGCACACACACTCCAACTATCTCAGTCAAAGAGGCGAAGATGTTTAGGAAAATAATGGTCTCAGAAATCGGCAGAATCTGAGTTCTTCGGAAAGCCCAGTTCCACCACTGCGCATTTGAAAAGAGCATGCTAAAGCACAAACTCTTCTCGGTGGGCCAGCGGAAGCCAGCTTATCTGCCAGGCGACATCAACATTATCACAATACCCATAGATGATCGAGAATCTCATCGGAAGTTCAGGCGCTTGGTTCGATTCATAAATATTACAACTAGAGGCCGTTTCATGAAGGGTATCTCAAAGCAGAAACATCACTACGCCAAGTGCGTAATGCAACCAATCTATCTATCTATACACGCGGTCCCCCGTTCCGACCAAATTACAGCAGTCCCTCGTTTCCTCCTCTCAAGTGCATATATGCGTCTCATTATTATTCTATTTCGAAACTCGGCGCCGTTCGAGTCGCACCGCCCATCCCTTGACGGCAAGGACGATGACTATCCAAGCCATTAAGAGTCCGACCAAGCCCATTGTAACGGTGTACATGAACATGGCGTCGAGACCGTAGTGGATCATTCCGTCGACAGTATCGGTACTCTGATTCAGGTCAGCTTGTTCACTTGTACGTGCGAGCTAGTTGGACTTACGCTAGCCATGAAAATAACTCCTCCAGAGATAAGTCCGAACGCCGCGAGAAGCTCGGTAGGGGGTCGTGATGGGAGGATGGACTTGGGCGGCTTGATGAACATCAAGATGTATGTAAGGCTTCGAGCAAGCGAAGCTCCAAGGAGGAGATTTCCCCACTGCTTGTGAACCATGCTGGACATCATGGTGTGTTGCGTATGCGAACTCATCATGAGGCCAAGCAGCATGATGACCAGAGCCGGGATGGGGTTCAGAGAGAACTCGTATGTGGCAGGGGCCTCGGTTTCGTCCGCTTCTTCGATTGCGTGGGGGCGCTTTGGCTCGATATCCTCCACGGTTGTGTTCAGGAGGTTGCGGATGCGAGTCGACTCGATCAACATACCACACTGGAGATTCACTGGTTAGCCTTCTGGCGCCGATTGCCAAGATTTGACAATGGACGATCTAACTTACCAGACCTCCTCCAAGAAAGAGAACAGTGATGGAAATGTGCTCCATATCCTGCGCAGTCCAGGCTCCTCCCCAACCGCCGAGGTGCTCCATGAAGATATTGGTGGAGCCATAGAAGAAGATCAAAAAGCTCTCGACGAACTCGGCAGAAGGGCGCCATTTCTGGGAGCCTTTCTTGGGGCGAACGTTCCATGCCCAGCCGAGCTCACCAAAGCTACCTGACCAGCGACCCAGAGTAAAGAGACCTAGCCAGAAGAAGACGCCACCCTTGACCCAGTGCGCCAGGCCATTGAAGATTCCGGATCCCTCCTATTGATAGTATGTCAGATTTACTTTCAATTGCACGATACAAGAGCAACCTACAAAGAAGCGACCAAAGGTGGCCACGCCAGTAGCTAGAGCAATAGAGCCGAAGGGAAGGATGATTCGATCAATCACCTTTCGCGCAACGTCGAGGTACTTCCATACTCGCGACGTAGCCATCTTGGAGGCATGGCGGGCAAAAGTTCCTTGGGGTGCAGGAGAAGACAGCGATAGCTCTTCCATGTCTTCATCGTCCTCGTATTCTTTCCTTGGGTGCTGCGGAGGCGATTCTATGCCATTGAGTGTCGATACGGAGTCGCTCTGAAGCGAAGGACTATTTGGCTCGGTGCCTCTTCCACTGTCATCGGAGGTGCGGTAAGGATTATCGTCGTGGTAGCCGTGGTGCGAGAAGCTAGTCTCTCGGGTCGAAACAGGCAAGAAAGAGTGAGACTCTCGGCCGCTTGGTTTGTTCTCATGACCCTTGAGGGCACCCGCGATGAAGCCCACTGCACTGATGAGTACCTGGGCACAGACGACCCAGGTCACAATCCACCCGATCTTGTGGTGCGCATTGTTAGGATACAAGTCTGGTGTTTGAGCGTTGTATATGACACCGAGAACAAGTCCCAGGGCATTTGAAGCTAGAAAGACGAGTTGTGCAGGTAGTGTAAAGCGAGAACGTGCCAGTGAGAGCATTACGGCTGAGGTTCGTGTAAGTTGGAGAGGAGCAATTTTCTGCAGTGGACTTACCAATTGGGAGGAGGAATACCCAAGAAAGGATCATCAAGGCAATATGGGTGTAGATGACTCCGGAATGCTCAGTATGGGCGAAATAAGTGTCAGGGTATTCTTGGTCCTTGGGTGGTTGCGTTGTGTTGCTGACATGGCCCATTCCCATGTCCATCTTCATGTCCATGCTATCACCGTCGCCATGCGCAAAAACGACAGTCAAAAGGGCTAGCAGCAATGCGCTTGGTAAGTGCAGTATAGTTTTCCTATAAATCATGTTGAGAGAATCGAAATAAGGCTTTTGGGTCTAAGAGCCGAGTTGAATGTCGAGACGAGGTCGCAAGCAGTAATTATAGTAGCAATGATTGACAGCTAGAAACATAGAGGAACAACGTTATATATAATAAATCATGCGATCAAGCTGAAGAATAGAACCAAAAATGTTTCAAGGAGCCTCGACATGGCATTGATTTAAAACACGACGTGGAAACCCTTCGAGTGACAGTGACAGGGGGACCAAGCGGCCATATCCAAAGTGGGCTTATATTTTGCGACATGACAGAGCTAAGAAAGGATGGATACGCAGAAGCTGAACTAGCATCGATCCGAAGGTTCCGAATTGCTTCATCCTGTCATGGTGAATGTACCTTAGTCAAGTATAGCCAAGACAAGGCAACAAAACAACAAAGGAAGAAAAAAGAAGTGCGGTAAGCAGGTCGGTAGCGGTAGCGGTAGCTATGGTGGGGGGACATCAAACGGGGCCGGCCGGTGGGGGACTCAGTGATGATGTTACAGTACCGAGTATCTTCAATAAGAGATGAGATGAGTTTTACATGGATAAACAGGCCAATTACTGTGCTACAACTCCATGTAAGGTGGTATCATGCCTCTTGATTCCGAATATTCACGATATCACACTCACACTCACACCTCTAGCTCTGGAATCGATCGATCGACAGACATCCATGAGAAGCACTTGCAAGTTACAACCGTGGAATTACCCGCAGACTTATTTACTTAGAATCGGAGATGAAGTGGGTCACAGATACACCATTACTCTATCATTTATTGTTTTACATCTGAAGTCATCACAAATGTTAACTATCTGGTAGCTAGATGTGATCTGATGGACGCCTTGCTTACAACTAGATTATGAATTCAGATGTACATAAATATAGCTTAGACCCTTCATGTATGTCATCTGTAGTCCTCTGGCATGTAAGTACTGTTCATCATACCAACAGCTTCTCTAAACATGTATCATGGTGAGTTGTCGAAATGCCTTCAGTCCAAGTCCACTTTTCCCGGACTTCTTTTTTACCAGGGTATCCATTAAAGAGCTTTAATGCCGGCAGCTTTTAACGCTAGTTACCTCATCCCGTTTGTTAATCCTTCAATCCCGACTCCACTTGATCACAACCACAACCACCGAACATTCCGCTCTAGACTACAGTACAGTACTTCTATCCAAAAATACCAAGGCAATCTCTCGCTACATCTTTACCATAAGCGACAAGGCTGTACTCGTTTATGACGTTCATGACAATAATCTTATACCATTTGATACGCCATCACTTACATCTAACCAAGGGCCATAGCGTAACCAGCCTCGACATCACGCAACGCTCTTACATGCACCTCAAGTAGCAAGCACGGATGATTCATACCGAAACCTCTTGGCAGTATGCACCTTTTCTACCAAAACATGGAAATGGGCATCTCCAACTTCCACTATTATCCCCGAGGATTCCGATGATTCCGGCTACAGAATCCCATTCCACCAACACTGACAGATCTCAAAGGTCACAAGGCATCGTCTTTATGTCTCTTCCGCAGTCGTATGACTCTAGATGCAAGGATTCCAAGGCGTGAAAGACTCTTCAAGCTTGACAAGTGGTGTCCAAGACCCGCCTATCAAGGTCTTTTCGCAAACAGGTTACCCTAAGTAGAAGTAGTGCCTCAGTCGCTTACAAATGACTTCACCTACACTACACTTAACCATGTAATAGAATCCCATAAGCTTCAATTGCTGGTTCAGGACAGAATTCTCGGGTTGTCATGATGTGCTGGCTTACACCGTCACGTTCACTTCCCTTGTGCTGACTTGCACTCATTTCATACGACTCTCAACGAATGAGTCAAACTTTTTGGGTTACAACCCGAGCTCAGTGTAAACAAGGTGCATACCATAAAACGCCAATTATAGGATTTGTATACCCGATCTGTCTTTTTGCGTTGCGAAACATAGCCCAGACAAAACAAAACAGCGTCGTATGATGTTCACGGAAGAACTTAGACTGTGCGTTCTTCAAAGCGGATTCATGTTGCAGTTTCATTTACTGAGGGCCTGTAACTCCGTCTTCCGTAAATGTCGTGCCGTAATTTCCAAATGATAATTCTACATTGAAGTGTCATCAGGAAGAGATCCGCAAGGATCCATGAATGACAGCTGTTAAGCCGCTACTGCAGCTGGTAAGCGATATAGTGGCTGCGTTAGCTCGGATACGCCCAAACCAGACCCCAACTGGTGATCTCCACCAGTTAAAGATCCATTAAAGATCCATCCAAAATTGAGTGATGAGAAGAAAAGATCCGAAGTTACCGATATCCCGTCTCATTTCGTCAAGCCGCAGCTCAGTTTCAACCCCGAATTCTTGGCATTCTCATCACAACCACATGATTTGATTTTGTTTCCAACCGATCCGCGATGTTGTAATAATTACTTTGCTCAAAAGGATCATGGACTTTTGGAAATCCGAAAGTTCATAGTCGATACTCACTTCACGTATTGCTGCCGGTGATGAGTTTTAGCATGGATACCGGGAGACCCCCAATAGTGATATCGTGATTGACTGTTTGCAGTGATGAGTTCTTGTATCACACCTCACTATCTCATAGTGAAGAACGGCTCTCTGCCAGCATTTTCCACTTCTCGCCATCGTGAGCTACTCGACCCTCGCCCTTCAACTTCCCCAAAATCTGCAAGACACCACCACGGGCGGCTGGATACAAATCTCTCGATACATCCTTGTAGATCACTTCGACCAATTCCATTGCAGTCCACTCCGACCATAACGCGGGCTCGTCGGTCTCTTCGCCTCCGGGTCCTGTCTTCAAAGTACGAACCACCTGTTCTTCACGCTGCTGGCGATGTGCGATATACTCGGCGATCTTGGCTGGGCCATTCTCGATGACTGGTCCATGTCCGGGGTACACTCGACCATTGAAGAGAGGTTTCATCTCTTCGAGACTCCGTATGTACGTGGGCAGATCCTCAAAAACAGCAGTGCCCTGACCAAGAACGTTGTCGGCTGTGAACATTGCATCTTCCTCCTGAAGCACGAAGACCATATGATCCCTGGTGTGTCCTGGTGTGTAGGCAGCCGTCAACGTGGCTCCCTCGACTTCAAAGCGCTGACCGTGCTTGATCTCAAGCTGCCCCTCTTCAGGCGTATGTTTATAGATCCTCGTCTGCGGCGAGATGCTCAAGAGATCTTTGATACCGCCGACATGATCATGATGCCAATGCGTGATGAGCGCGATATCAATAGTTGCATTCTCCTGCTGCAAAGTTTCGCGAATTGAAGTAATCCAAGCCTTGCGCCCCTCACCCGTATCAATGAGAAGTCGACGCCGGCCCGTGCCGAGTAGGTAAGTGTTTGTGCCTTGAAGAGTGAATTTGCCTGGATTACCGCCCAAGATGCGTATGCAAGCAGGACTCAGACGTTCTACGGCTGGTAGAGTAATGAGTTGCATTGCCATTATTTTAAGTTGCTGATCGCTCGCTATGGAAGATGAAGATGGGAGCTGTGATCGAGACGACCAATTCAAGGCGCTGATCTGGAGGGGTTCGGAGCCGGATGCGGGATGCGGTGGATCGGAGCCGGGCACCGATGATTTAAGTTATGTGGATACTTTCCGATGATATGTTCCGGTAGGTAGTCGAATTTAGGTTCAAAGACGAAAGGTGAGGAAAGTAATTCTGGAATAGGTAGGTAGGTAGTAGGTATTTGAAGGCATAAATGCAAGCAGGTTATCGTCATCCGACAATTGGGGTAACCTTGGGGAAGGTACTATTGATTGAATAGTGGTAAACCTCGGCTCGAGTTGTAACTGCTTCCGGCAGGTGCAGGTGCTACATAACCGACTGTTTGGTTAAAAGGCAGCTACAGCAAGCGTCACTCCCTACGACTTAAACTAGGTACTTATGCAGAAAGAGCATCTAAGTTGGCTTACCATAAGCATGGGCAGAGGCATGGACATCTAGAGAATAGACAATCTCTTTGAATGCTTAAATGCTATTCTATAGCATTGGTTGTCTACCTATTTGAGAAGCTTTTTAACTGGATAAAGTTTTCAGATTGTCTTTCTTCCAGCATTATTTCAAGGTAGGCAGGATGCTTTAATACTCTTTAAACGCGTTTCCCAATTATTCAATCGCGCTTTACACTTCCACGGCTAATAGCTTAGCTTAGTAGAATAGCGGCGTGCTTATCTTATCGCCATGCATGACAAGGGTATAATTTTTACGGTTATGATGTACCTATCCCGCCAATCTTAGGCGCCCAGGTACACACTAAGGCAGCCTACACCCGCTGCAATCTCTCACTCTCCTGCCCTGTCCCTGACATGGATATTAAGTTACAGTGGCTTCACCTCAACACTAAACTTGAACCTGAACCATTCTTGCATTTCCGATTCAAACTATCCTTCATTGTATTAATCCAAAACAAAGGCCGCCAGCCAAAGGCTATTCAACTTTTGTTCAAATATATGTCGCCTCTTAATTCTTTTTTCCCTTTACAATCATCGAACCTCTGCTCTTAAACCAGCCCCTCGACAGGAAGAGGCGAACGATTGTCCGACTCTCGGCTTGCCCTTTGACAATACGGATCTGCGCCTTGCAAACACCAACACCAACGAATAATCGGGAACCGACGGTACTATCGCAATCGACGAACCGTATACTTAGACCTGTTTCCGGCGCGACTGGCTTTGGACCTCTTGATAAAGTCCTCTTCGTGCCTCCGAATCAGAGATTCGAGCTACCTTTCACCAACCTTGTGCAGCGCGACCGACCTCTACGTTCTGACCAGCTCCAATCGATCGCAACTACAAGACAAACACCAAGGCTCAATCGCCCATAATGTCTGCCCGGCCAGCGACTCCGGCCTCCCCTAAGAATGTCAGGGTGAAGTCTCCGGTCCCTGGGTTGCCAATGTTCGGATGCGGTACGAGTCCCCCGGTTCCCCCATTGATCTCAATCGCCCTCGTTTTCTTTGCCGTTATCTAACTGTTACCAGAGCACATACAACTCCTCCTAAGCAAGAATCAGGAGGTTATGAACAGCTCCATCACACATTACAAACTGATCCTACGCGGCATCTTCGATACGACACCCATCGTCCCCCAAACTTCAACGTTAGAGGGCCGACCCGTCACGTCGCTTACCTCCAACTACCTTTGCCTGCAGTGCCCATCGACTGTTACCGAGGACGAACGCTTGAGGCATGGAACTAAGAAACAACATCGCTTCTGTTCGTTGCCTTGTGCCGTCTCATAGTGCTCTGCTAACCTGGCGCAGATGTCGACTCTCGGAGTGGCTGCCTATATTGCCAGATATGCGATGACTTCATCTGGGACCCAACTCTGGAGGAACTCCGTGTGAGAAAGATAGGGACTGGTTCTTTTTCTGGTAAGTCAGGTTATGATAGGGACTGTCATTCACTACCCAGCCATGAGTGGAGGATGTCGACCCCTGCAGAGGTATTCTTGCTAACCGTGACTTTGGACATAGGTCGAAAGAGAAAACACGATGAACTATTCAGCGGCTCTTTTAAGGATGATCCACGGTTTATTTCTAACAACACTAACACCGCTTCATGCCGAGCTAATGGTCTACGCGGCATCTACAACGCAGGCGCCACCTGCTACCAAAATGTCGTTCTCCAGAGCTTCTTGCACAATCCCTTACTTCGAAATTTCTATCTCAGCGATGGTCATCAAAGCAGCGATTGCCAGGTCCCACATTGTCTGAGTTGTGCCATGGACGACATGTTTCAAGATTTTTATGCATTGGAGACCACTAACGGCTATACCGCTGCAAATATCTTGTCGGGGTTCTGGATCTCAGAGAAGAAGGCATTCGAGAATCTTGTTACCACCAAGGAACAAGATGCCCACGAGTTCTTCCAATTCCTAGCTGAAGAGCTCCATGAGCGCAACGGAGACGGCAAAAAGCCAGAGATTGGCAGTGAGCATAGTTGCAACTGCATCATGCATCAGACATTCTATGGCAAGATGCAGACAACGACAACATGCCAGAACTGCTCCGGTCAAAGCAACTCTATCCAGTCATTCCTGGATCTGAGCTTGGGTCTCGAGAACGTTGTTCAAAAGAAGAGTAAGAAAACAGGACAGAAGAAGCCCAATGTCACCTTGCAAGATTGCTTGGACGAGGAATATATAAAGTATGACAAGTGCGAGTATCGGTGCAACAACTGCAACGGAACACAGCAAGCAAAGCGACACACCAGCATAAAACGATTGCCAAATGTCTTGTCCATACAGCTTAAGGTAAGTAATGATCCCATATTATCAACAATGATCCGCCAAGCTAAAGAAAACTCTCAGCGCTTCGAGTACAGACATGGCCGGCACGATCGTGCCGCTTCCAAGGTCGACAACGAAGTCAAATTTCCGCTACAACTGAACATGATGCCTTACACTAATCGTGTTCGGAATCAGGACAGCCGAGAAACCCTCGAACTAGAGCGGTCTTGCACCTATGATTTGCTCAGTGTGGTGGTCCATGTGGGTGAGCTAGACACTGGTCACTATACATCATACTGTCGAGTCGGCGACCAGGTAAGTTAAGTCAGTCTAAATCCTAGTGTGCAGTGCTGATGCATAGAATAGTGGTTCAAATTCAATGATCACAAAGTCGAGCTGGCAAGCTTGTCCGACGTCCTCGGGGCCCAAGCCTACCTCCTCTTCTACATCATTCGCTCCCTGGCTTGATTGGTTTTGAACCCATTGGTAAATAGATGGTGGGGAGAAGACATTTCGAGCTGGGAATACTAGCCAGGCGTCGACATGCGTTACCCAATAAAAGTCATGATTGTCAGAAACAGAAGAGCGGATTTAAATGCATTGCACGGCGCGGGCATACGGTTTTCGTTTATACCCGTAGTAACACAGCCTTAATAAGACTTTGCATGGTATATATTCGCAAGCTTTTCTCTATTGTAAATAAGCACCCAGTTTGTGGATAATCCAGTGGCATCCTTACAAGCCAGCTGCACTGTTGAATCTGACGTACTTTCAGTCAGTCGTTTGGCTGCCCTTTCAGGAGCCTGCCGGCGGTCTTGACACAGCAAATGCCTTCTTTCAGAACTTTGCGATCATTCGTTCCGCCTTGCTAATCAGATTCATCCGATCGCCAGTCCCAGGTCGAGCTCTCAAAGTTGGCGTAACAATAGTAGTGGTTGCTCAAGCCTGCGTGGGCAGGCTCAAATGTCGTTGGGTAGACTTCAAGAGAGCGGTAGAGCTTGTCGACAATGGGGGCCATGCGCTCGCCAGTGCATACAATAACACGGGGCGACTTTGGCTTAACAAGCCAACGACCGGTCAAAGCAACTAGAGGAATAGCGTGTCAGCACCAAAGAAATGAATATGTATCGCAAAGGGCTCTTCCGCCAGGTCAGACAGTAGGAATGACTCGCAAACATTAAGGACTACTTACACTTTGTCTGGCAGTCATTGCTGAAGAAAGGAGGGTCGATAATGACACTATCCAGGCTGCCCTTCAAATTGCCTGATGATCCTATGTCAGTCGCCTGCATTTCGCACTTGGAAGCTCATAGGCTCTACCTGGAAGTTGGAGGGGTCGTTGAAAGTCATAGAAGACAAATTCGGGGAAGACACTAAACCGATGGTCATGCTCAAACAGGACCAGTTTGGGTCGGTCTTCGACAGGCCAGAATCTCTATATAATACGGGTTAGACAATCCATATCTCAAATGAGCCCCAGCTCGGTGGGCTTTGGCAAAGCACTGGTCTCGGTAGGGTCGCTGCTTACAAGTCGGTTCTTGAGTGCAATGAAGACACTTGGTGTTGAGACCACACCAATAGTCGAGCTCGATGAGGCACCGTCAAGGAGCTGATCAGCCAAAGCAAATGCTGTTTCATCAAGGAACTAAATCGCCAGGGTATTAGCATTTTTGAGCTGTCAATATCATGAAGTTGTCGTTGGGCACACGTTTCGTGCCAAGAGCACCAATGCCAGGCCAGTACGTAATGAATACCCCAGCGCTCAGATGCAAGATCCCAGAAGCCGATCTGAGAAGCCATCTCCACCAGCGTAGCCAAAGGTGAAAGGCCACTGGACGGTGGGTTTCCTCTGTGCCTTGTTTTCTGCACCTCGTTTTACGTACCCAAAATTGCGATTCGTTCCAGTCCTCCGTGAAAGCGGCCATGCTCAGTGGCTCGTCGTCCGCATCTCCGGCTATAGGGTCCTCATCCTCCGGTTCGACCACCCCGAGTCCGGCTCCGGCTCTGGGGGCAGCGCCGGTCCTCAGCTTCTCGAAGTTCCTTTCATGGGCATCCTTTTCGGCGTGGAATTCGGCTAACGCGGCCAAAGCGTGACTCGAGAGGCTTCTGCAGACCAACTAAAATCAGTAAACTGGGGCGGGGAACATGGGACAAGGGGATCTGAAGCTCTTCTTACATGGGCTCTTCATCACTAAAAGACATCGGGAAGTTGTAGTCGAAATTGCTCTTTTTCGCCTCGATGTACGATTAAACGCAAATGTTCGAGATAAGAAAACAATTGCGGGTTTTATGTAAGGGTTTGGCGGGGTCCTCTTTGCTGCTCTTTCAACGGTCTAGACTCTCGGTTCATAAACGCTGCATGAAAGTATATAGCTACAGGGTAGGTGCATGTGGACTGACTTCCTTTTGGAACTTCAATTATCATTCTTTCAACCCAAAGAAAACCTGTACAATTGTTGGATCTCGCACACCTCTAGTTTATGCGGTCCTATATACACGGACTATTATTGACCTGTCCGCTCAGCCTTAATTCTCAACTGCCTTTCCAGCATCCACGATACGCAAAAATCCATCCCATTCCTTTTCTTTACAACTCATCCAAGACGTGGATGTACTTCTTCTCTTCCCGCTTCTCCTTCTCTGTCGCAGGGGGAAGATCGTAGAAGTTCTGGCTTCGGAATCCTTGCTAGATGGGGGTCAGCTTGTGATTTACAGTCCAGCAGTTAATAGCACTTACCAAGTAGTGGTACGTGAAGTTGATAATGTCACCAGGCTCGATGCCTAGGTCCTTAAAGGTCTTGGCCTTGGGGTCAATGACCTGGTCCAAGAACTCTCGCTCAACCTCATCGGCTGACAGAGTGTGCCACCAAAGCACCTTGTTAAGAATCTCAGCAACGGGCTTCAGGATGGCCTTTGGCACATTGACGTGTCGTCGCTGCTTGTAAATCTCCTTGTCAACCATGACGGAAATCTCCTCCATGCTGTACTTCTTGGGTCCGTAAAGCTCAAAGGTCTGTCCAGCGGTGGTGTCGTCAAAGAAGATCTTCTCAAGAGCAGCACCAACATCGATGGACTATGGTTGTTAGTATTTACGGAATAGACGTCCACCTTCATTGAACTTACGTGAACAGGGTTGAACTTCTCCTGCATGTTGTTGGAAGTGAAGAGGTTGGTGACACCAGCCAGCTTCAGTAGGAGGTTGTCCTCGAAACCGAAGATGGGGGCAGGGCGGACAATAGTGGTCTCAGGGAACAGGCTGCGAGCGACCTCTTCAGATCGGCCCTAAACTCCTGATTAGCATCTCAGTTCATTGAGACCGACAATTTACAAACCTTGGTACGGTAGAACTCCGAGGGGGACTGAGAGTTGGCGCTGTGGGAAGAAACGTGGATATATCGGTCGACATCGTACTTGCAGACAGCCTCAACAATTCGCTCGGTACCCTCAACATGCACATCCTCCAGAGAGAAGTTCCTGGAAATCATTTAGCTTCCCATCCTTGCTCCAGCGTATCTCGTATAAACATACTTGGTAGGGTAATCGCGGCCGATCAGGTTGAAAACAGCATCCGAGTGTCGAACGCTAGCCTCGATAGAGGGGGTGTTTCGAAGGTCGTGCTCCTAGAGTACGAGGTTACTGGAAGGCTCCTCACAATATCAGGTGTAATTGAGGCGTACGATGAAGACAACACGGCCAAGATCTCCGGTAACCTTGAGATGACGCTTGGCCATCTCCTCACGGAAGGGAACAACGACGGTGCATCCCTGGCGAGCTAATCCCAGTATTAGCATCCCAATTGCCCATCTCCCACTGTCGCAATTCAATAGCAAGTCGGCTCACCCAGTCGGTTGACAATGTATCGTCCAAGTTGGCCGGTTGCGCCAAATACGGTAACGGTATGGCCTGGTTACTCTTCGTTAGTGTCGTTCGCGGTCATCGTAGCTCGATTGTCGTACCTCCGAGGGATGAACTATACACAGAATAACATTAGAAAGAGGCTTGAAAGTGCCAATGGGCCATAGTCTAGCTTACCGGCCACCCTCAACACGCATGATAGGCTTGCCAGTTCGAGTAATGGAGATGTCAGAAAGGAATCGCTTGCCAGCGACATTGAAAGTAGCCTTGCGGGCTACCCGCGCAGCAAGGAGAGGCGAAGCCATTGTTGCGAATATACAGGTTGCGTGACAAAACGCTGCTGTGCCTCGCAATTGGCCGTAGATCGTCTCGTCTTCAATAGGTAGCAATGTTTGGTGATGCTAGCCAAGGTAGAGCCTCGGAGAACGGTAATTGCAGATCACGTGATGGGTCAATGAAATCTTGCAGCTGGTCATTGGTTAACGGATTCGAGGTGGTCTTTTGGTCTTTGGAGAACAAAAATGGTCCGTGCTTCTTGACGTTGCGACAACCAGGCTGCCTGGTAGCCTCACTAATGAGCTAAGGACCTCCCTCCATCTCCACTGAAGCAACTTATCGACCTTAACAAACATATCACATCCACCGATTCATTCTCGCGACGACCTCTTGACGACACCACGATCGACCATCAGGGCAGACCTTCACTTTCCTGTGAGGCCCTACCAAGAGGAATTAGTCTATAAGACATACTTCACCAACCGAAAGTGCAAGCTAGCTAGCTGTGCACGTCACCCATACTCTTCGATTCCACCGACATCACATACATATCCGCCATCATGAGTAACGACGCCATTGCCGATTTTCTTGCCGAGCAGCGCGAAGAAGTTTCCGAAGAGCTTCAGCCTCTCATTCTCGACTTCGAGACCTTTTGGGAACGAAAGCTCTGGCACCAGCTTACCGATGCTCTGCTCACGTTCTTCAGCCACCCCGAGAGCGCCCCTCAACGGCTACAGTTCTACAGAGTCTTTATTCTGAAGTTTGCCGACAAAATCAACCAGTTGAAGCTTGTGGACCTAGCATTGAAGGCGGCAACAGAGTGTGACGGTAAGATTTCCGTACAATATGTCCGAAGTCGACGGGTTACTGATCCATGATGCTTGTTTTAATAGAGGATGAGGAGCGCCTATCTTTCCTACAATCAGTCGCTAAGAAGGTCGACAACGAGAACTCTCAAGACGCTTACGTTTTTGCTTTGGTCGCTGTGGCCCAAGCAAAGTTAGACCTCGAGGAACTAGATGGAGCGCGAAAGGATCTCGATACAGCCGAGAGGATACTAGACTCATTCGACTCTGTTGAGAACGTAGTCCACGCTGCTTTCTATGACGCTAACGCCATCTACTACCAGGTACGAACACCAATTGCTTCCGATCTTGATCTTAGAATCTGTCGTGCCTATTTGAACCCCGCTAACCCCTCCTTCAGCGCAAGATGGACTTCTCTAACTACTACCGCACTGCCCTCCTCTACCTCGCATGTATCGATATTAACGAACTGTCCCCTGACGAGCGACACAAGCGAGCTTACCACCTCAGCATCGCGGCTCTCGTCTCCACTAGCATCTACAACTTCGGAGAACTTCTCCTTCATCCTATCCTCGATGTTCTCACAAAGAGCGAGCACGCTTGGATGAGAGATCTGCTCTTCGCTTTTAACCGGGGCGATCTTGCAGCTTATGAGCGTCTGTCGGATCGTGTCGACTCTCACAAACTCCTTAAGAGTAACGCAACACACCTTCGCCAGAAGATTTACCTTTCTGCTCTTACTGAGGCTGTCTTCCGCCGTGCCCCCCATGACCGCACTCTCACATTTGCCACCATTGCTGAGGAAACCAAGGTCCGCCCGGAGGAGATTGAGCATCTCATCATGAAGGCTCTGAGCCTTGGCCTGCTGCGAGGTACCATCGACCAAGTGGACGGTGTTGCGCAGATTACTTGGGTTCAACCTAAGGTACTTGACATGAAGCAGATTGCCGCGATGCGCCAGCGACTACTTGACTGGGACTCAAGCGTCAACCAACTCGGCAACTGGATTGAGTCGGCTGGTAAGGATGTATGGGCTGCATAGAGCATATACTCGGCAAGTGTTTGAAGGAGCATGGGAGAAACAAAACGAACTATTATGTACAGTATAGACGGATAGAAACTTCTCTATGGGTAGATGATGATATTTTACCTAGAGCAAGTCTATTAATTCTGAACTTTGTCTATCTCACCCCTGTGTCAGTGCTATTCTATGAGGCCTAAAATCAATGCTGCAGCTCCAAATGCAATCCCCTTCTAAAAAATAGCTTACACCCGGTTCACTTGATGCTATCTTTTAAGCAGTAACCTCTCCAAAAACGTTGACCATACCCACGAGCCAAGCAGGCCACCACAAACACCAAACCACAACGGGCGTGTACATGCCCCAAACATTCCACCCAAAACTTGCCTCCTTTAACAAGTCTGCAATGCTGATATCACAGATTTGTGCTGCGGCATATACTATAGTAGGGGGTGCCACGATGTTGAGCAGTCCAGCCAGGGACCATCGCAGGGCCGGGTTCTTCACAGGCTGGACAAAGCTGAGCGGGCTGGAGAGTACACCGATGAGGAAGGCGAGAGAGAAGTTGAGGGTGGCCAAAGTTGAGAGACACATGCCCAGAACGAGTAAAGAGAACGATTTTGTAAGTTGGAAGTGCTGGATGGTGGGCTTGGTAACCAGTGTTAGGAGACGGGAGATGGCGAAGGGGAGGATAGCCGAAACGACTGAGAAGCCCGCAAATGCTGGAGAGAGTAACTGGATGTTGTTAGTATTGGTTCAACAATTGAGCAGATACACTTACGCTGGCGGGAAGATGGTTGAAAGTATACAGAGGCACGGCTGATAGGCCTTGACAAACAGCGACAACACCCAATGGGACAAACAGATCTCTTCCAGCTTGTGCCGCATCAGTAGATGTCTTCGAGTCCTTCTCCTTGAATTTCTCTGTTGCTGGTGCCTGGCCGCTCTTGACCCAGAGAGAGATGGCCATGATTGTGAAGTTGGCGGCGATCAGCATGGCACTAGGAAGATAAGTACCGATACTGACAAATCGATCAGTTTGCATCAAGAGATAGAAGAAGAAACTCTGATGCAGGTGCTCAAGCAAGTTGTTCAAGCTTCGGAATGAGCCCTCAACCACGCGGCCCATGGCCATCTCGTCATGCCATCCCTCGCCGTAAGGCTGAAGAGTAACAGCATCGACGTGGTAAGGGATGAAGCTACTGTGAGCACCAGCCGCATAACCGAGACCCTGGTTAAGCATACCACGCAACATAGTCTGCAGGCGGTCGGGGTAGGTTCCCCTGTGATGTGTCATCTTCTGGATGGAGGTGGTGATACCCATCTGGCCGCCGGCGATATTGACAATCGAGTTGATTAGATCAAGATTGGGAAGCTGGCCATTAGGTCCGTCGTATATAACATGCACAGACTTGAAATTCTGCTCTTGGGGGTAGTCAAGAGCAAGAGCACCTTGGAGGGCACCAGACTTGAGAGGTAGAGGGGCCACGAGGTCAGGGTTATGAGCATCATGGTATGCATCTACCCAAGCCTGTGTACCGGTCTTGCTGTCGGGAGGGAAGACAAGAATGATGTCCTTGGACCATAAGGACCAGCCTGCACTTATTAGACCATCTTCTTTATATCTTTAATTTTTCAGGGGTACGTACGTTTAAAGTAACGGGCAAGAGTCAAAGCGAGAGACACGCCGTTGCGGTTGAGCTGCTCTTCAACGTTCTTCCATGCAGCTACCAAGACAATGGCCTCAGTAGCATCACCACGGGGAGCTTGTAGGATAGCATAGAGATTTTGTCCCGAATATTCATGGCCGGCTGAGTTATAGGTGTAGTTTTGACGTCCGACCTTGAGTCCGACACCTGTCAGAATCTTGTCCAGCTTATTGTTGATCCTATCAAAATCAATCATATCAGTATATAATCCAATTGTACTGTTGCCAATTGTAAAACGTACTCGTAGTTGTTCTTGTCCACCACATCGTCAACCTCGTGACGATAGGCGCGGAAGATATTCTGTTCGCTTCCTCCGAAATATGTGTGCACTTGTCCAGGCAGCAGTGCATTTTCCGAGATATATGTTCGTCGCGAGTATTCGTTCAAGGGTAGGAGAAACAACCAAATCACTCCGACAGCGATGCAGAGAAAGGACAAGTAAGGGGGTAGCTTCAAGATACGAGGATCGCGACGCAGCGAGAGCGCCGATGCTGCGGATGTATTAGTGAAAGGTTCGCGAAGCAGATACGCATTAGTATTTCTTCAGATACTTACATAGAAGCCGCGACATGATTGAACCACTATCTTTGCGACAAAAGACTTGGTCTGCTCAGTAATTGGAGGTTGAGATTGTCTTGAACATCGGGGGTTCATGAATTCAATCATTAAAGAGGGTACGTACCTACCTTCATGACAGCTTACCGCTTACCAGTAAAGCTCCCAGGCCAGGGGGGCCTGTATGCGGGGCAGACTATGCGGTTACCGGGGGTCTTGTCGATCTAAGAATTGACGATTTTATGGATTTCAATGCCATTTAGAACAAGATGGAGGCACCAAATGGTCTATGCTACGGATCGTGACTACCTAATGCAAGAAGTTACAAGAAAATCTGTGTGGAAGAAGAGCGGTCAAGCCTTGTACCACTTGTTTCTGAGCACAGCATGAATTAGACATCAATTATATGCTTCTTGTTGGGTGATGAATCATGTTTGATCATATCTTGAGCTTCTATCTTTCTTCCATCCCGGTCGTCCATTATAATATACCCAAGTATCGTTCTTGATAAAGTTGAATTAAAACAGCTACACCACAAAACGTCCGTCCGTCCACTCATTCATTTGTTTTGATCACTGCGCCTGCCCATAACATATGAGATACTCCAAGAAATATGCCCTTTCTATAGTACAGATCTGGAAGAGAACGTGCATCGGGCACTCTTGCGCTGTTACACAATTATACAAAACTACACACAGGCAGTGTGCGCGCGCTCATCTAAGGTCCAAGACGTTGAGTTGTACCAACGAGCTCTGTCGCCGAGCTTCCGCTAGGGCCCGGGCGGTTGGTCGTAGGAAGCACGCCGAATCGACCGTATGTGGTCTTGTCGATGCTCACATAGTGGGGAAGAATCTTGAGAAGATTAAGTCGGTTCTCAACCCATCGAAGACCCCATTCCGGGGGTGCAAGTAGCTTGGCATAGCCAAAGCCAGCTATTCCAAATGTCAGACTCCAATTTATATCCAACATATCGACGAAACTTACCAACGTATCCAATTGCGATACCGCAGAGGTGGCCCAAGAGGCTTGTTCCAGGTATCAATGCCGCCACCACCAAACTCATTATCAGAGGGGTTGTCCATGTTGGGATATGAACTGTGCCAATAACGAAGTGGGGGTTGCTCTTGTATGTCTGGATGGACTCCATCGCCAATAGTGTAAACACCCACATGCTACATGCATCTGTCAGTCTCAGTCTTACTCGGCCATTTCCCTTATTTCATACCTGGCTCCAAGAACACCGTGGTTTGCTCGGAAGATGCATCGTTCGATCAGGACATAAATAACGGCGGGTATAGACGTCAAAGCTGTATCAAAAACAGTCAGTCCATAGTTCTCCATCACAAATCGGATTCCTTACGTCCAAAGAACAAGGCAAGGGATGTCAGGGTGCCATGTTCGGTCTCAAATCGCTCCATCAAGGGAGTAAGCGCCAGAAGATTAAGGATCGCATGGAGAATGTTGAGGTGTATTAACGGGAAAGTCGATAGTCGATAAGCTGTTAACAAGACTGCGGTTAGCAAAAGCACGCATCCTGTGCAGAGTGTTTCACAGTACCGTTTGTAATGCTGATCTCTTCAGGGATGAGAGCACCCCATTCTTGTAGGTTCCATACAGACTGTAGAGATGCGATTGAAAGAGCAATAATAGCTAGAACGATGAGTCGAGTAAAGAGCGGTAATCGTGTGAGATATGATCGGGCTCGTAAAGCGTTGAAGTTCTGAAGACGGGGTCGCATCTCTATCGATTCGCTGTTCGGAGCAGCCGGCCTACCTCTATGTTAAAGAAATGGAAACTCGGCAAATATTGAAAACCAGAAGCTCAAAGTACCGAAATGAACGAGACGGGGAAACAAAGAATAAAGCGAGTTATTTCAAATCTGCACGGATAATGCACCACGATTCGAACCCAGAAATCGCTTCCACGCCCTGAATGTCTGTCGCAGGACGATGGCCAAGTGAAACTGGACAACAGGCCCTTGAAGTCAAGATGTGGCTGAGACTTGCAGCCACACGTGATCTGATTGCGCACGGCCACAGTTCATCTACAAAACTTCACTCCCGGCGGAAGATACAATTAAGGCCGTCACTAATAAATTATACTAATTATCTGGCAGACATATCAATCTTGTGAACGGACAGTCATCAAGGGATAAGCATCTGCCTTGATCCCACAAGACAGGTAGCCTACAATACTCGAGTAATGTCACAGAATTGGAACATTGTCAGATATTTTAACAGTTTAAATGTTGTTACAACTAATGAAAGCATGGCTATTCCCTTGCTGCAATTATATAATAAAACATGGGCAGTCAACGTTCAAGACATATACCGTCCGCTAACAAGCCCCTCTACTGTCTACTCTCAAAACCCAACATGAGAGCATCAGGATGTACGCCGTGTGACCCAAAAGTAAATCAAATTGCTCATCTTTGCTTCATTCCTTCTTTAGTTCTTGGCGGCCTTGGCCATGGTGTTAAGAGCAGAGCCATTCTTGAACCACTCGATCTGAGCGTCGTTGAAGGTGTGGGACAGAGAGACCTCGAAGGACTCGCTGCCATCGGCGGGGTGGACAATGAGGGGGAGGGGCTTGCCAGACTCGAGCTTGGTGCAGAGGATGTCGACACGGTCATCAGGTCGGATCTTGTCGTAGTCGGCGGGGTCAGTGAAGGTAAGAGGGAGCATACCCTGCTTCTTCAAGTTGGTTTCGTGGATACGAGCGAAAGAACGGGTGATGATGGCAAGACCACCAAGGTGACGGGGCTCAAGAGCGGCGTGCTCTCGAGAAGAGCCCTCACCGTAGTTCCAGTCACCGATAACAACCCACTTGATACCCTTGGACTTGTAGTCACGGGCGACAGCGGGAACAGCACCCCACTCACCATTGGTGTGGTTCTTGATCTTGTTGGCTTCCTCGTTGGCCTCGTTGATGGCACCAATCAACATGTTGTTGGAGATGTTGTCAAGGTGACCACGGTACTTCAACCAGGGACCGGCCATGGAGATGTGGTCGGTGGTGGTCTTGCCCTTGGCCTTGATGAGAATGGGCATGTCCTTGGCGTCCTTGCCATCCCAAGGCTGGAAAGGAGTAAGGATCTGGAGACGGTCGGAGGTAGGGGCAACATCGACGCTGACGCTGGCACGGTCCTTGGGAGGGGCCTGGTAAGTGTCCTGGCCGGGGTCGTAGCCTCGGTTAGGGAGACCGTCACCAGTAGGAGGAGCAAGCTTGAACTCCTTGCCGTCCTTGTCCTTCAGGGTGTCGGTAAGAGGGTTGAAGTGGAGGGATCCGGCGATGGACATGGCGACAACCAGATCGGGAGAAGCGACGAAAGAGTGAGTGGCGGGGTTACCGTCGTTTCGGCCGGTGAAGTTACGGTTGTAAGAAGAAATGATAGAGTTGGCCTCACCCTTCTTGACATCACGTCGGTCCCACTGACCAATGCAAGGACCACAAGCATTGGCAAGGACGATACCGCCGAACTCCTCGAAGGTCTGGAGCTGACCGTCACGCTCAATGGTGGCACGGATCTGCTCAGAACCAGGGGTGACAGTGAAGGCAGACTTGGCCTTGACACCGTGGTTGAGGGCATCACGAGCGATAGAGGCGGCACGGGTCATGTCCTCGTAAGAGGAGTTGGTGCAAGAACCAATCAGACCGACCTTGAGCTCCTCGGGCCAGCCGTTCTCCTTGACAGCCTGGCTGAACTTGGAGATAGGGGTTCCCAGATCAGGAGTGAAGGGACCGTTGATGTGGGGCTCGAGCTCGGAGAGGTTGATCTCGATGAGCTGGTCGTACTCGACGTTCTCGTCAGGGCGGAGGCCGTGGGCGTAGGAGCGGGCGAAGTCACCGATCTCCTTTCGCTTGGTGGCGGCAAGGTAGTCGTACATGCGGTCGTTGAAGGGGAAGACGGAGGTAGTGGCACCAATCTCAGCACCCTATGTATTGTTAGCAGGTCCTCAATTATTGGATGAACAAGAGTAACATACCATGTTGCAAATAGTAGCCATACCAGTGCAAGAGATAGCATCGGTTCCAGGGCCGTGGTACTCAACGATGGCACCAGTGCCACCCTTGACAGTGAGGATATCAGCGACCTTGAGGATAATATCCTTAGGAGCAGTCCAGCCGTTGAGCTGACCAGTCAGCTTAACACCGATGACGTTGGGGGCCTTGAGCTCCCAGTCAAGGTTAGCCATGACATCGACAGCATCGGCACCACCAACACCAATAGTGGCCATACCGAGACCACCACCGTTGACAGTGTGAGAGTCAGTACCAATGAGAAGACCACCGGGGAAACAGTAGTTCTCAAGGAGAATCTGGTGAATAATACCGGAACCGGGCTTCCAGAAACCGATATCGTACTTGGCACAAGCAGTAGAAAGGAAGTTGTAGACCTCCTTGTTAATGTCAACAGCGCGAGCAAGATCCTTCTCACCACCAACCTGAGCCTCGATCAAGTGGTCACAGTGAACGGTAGTGGGGTTGGCAACCTTGTCCATGCCAGCGGACATGAACTGAAGGATAGCCATCTGAGCGGTAGCATCCTGGCAAGCAACACGGTCAGGTCGCAGCTTGAGGTAGCTCTTACCACGCTGGATATCCTGACCATGGGGATCAGCCAAGTGGGAGTACAGAATCTTCTCGGCATAGGCCAGAGGTCGGTTCAGACGAGAGCGAACGATGTCGAGGTTCTCGGACATCTTCTTGTAGTTGATGAAGTTACCCTCCTCCCAGTTGTTCTGGCGGACCTGTACAAATGAACATGGTTAGTCTCCTGTAATTTTCCACATTCTCGCAGTTTGAAGATGTCCAATTCCGCGAGTGCTGCTTCATGGCCTCCTGTTACAATGATGCTCAGGTTCGCGTGTCAGGCATGCCTCGGCATTGACGGTGGATTGACAGCCGAACTGGCCAATGCACCATGACGTCTACCAGCTATGCAGCTGAACACCAACGAACCAGGAAACCACAGCACATGTCGCTGAATAGACCAGACAACTCCGAGTAGTTTTTTTTTTAAAGCTTACCTTCTTGTCCAGAGGGTTGTCTGAGACGGTTGCCATGCGGCGGATGCCAGAAGCAGCGCCAGCGAGGGCGCGGCCCCGGGACATGTTGCCCAGAACCTGGCGGGTAGCGAGCATGATGGGCGGTTTGATCAGTCTCAATTGAGCGTGGAAGCAATTATAGACGAGCTTCTCTGGGTATCACAAAGGAGGAAAAGGGAAAGGAAGACGCTCGCAGAAGAAGATCAGCGAGAGAGAGAAGAGGGGGGAGGCTGGAGTATTAAAAGGAAGAGGAAGAAAAAGTAGACGGCTCTCACAAGGTGGAGAGTTGTTTTCTGACCCGGGGCAAAGCCAGCCAGGGCAGCCGAGACCGAGCAAAATAGATACGGTGCAATTCAAATGTCACTTCACGGTAAGATCAAGTACCTCACTCTTGCCCTCATTTGCGCTGCCAAAAACCCTCCTACCCCGGCTAATCCACGAGGCCCAAAGGCGTGTGAAGCTTCACACCCTCAATCGCGCACCCCCAGAGCCCCAAAGTGCTTGGCCGACGCTTCGTGGTGGAGCAAATGCTAGCGGTCCGTCAGCCTCTATGGACAGCTGCTCAAGCGGAAAGAACCACTGAAACTTGACAAAGCGTCCACTGGGACAGGTTCAAGGTAGACAAATTCTCCCCACTTGGACGCAGGCGGGGAGCTCTTTTCTGCAGACCAATGAGGGTTTAGGAGAAAATAATCGGCACCTGCCCTTCGTCATGGACAGTAACCGAAAACCTCCACTCTGCCGAGGGAACAAGATCATTTTCAGAAATTCAGCAACGGTTATCCCAAGGATCAACCGTCCTCAGGGCCGTATGGGATACTGTGCTAGATGTATTCTTTTTTATACAATGGAACATGTTGTTCCTCGTTGATTGTCTACAAAGAAGCCCATGGTTTGCTCGACTCGTTTGGCAGGTGTTTCCTGTTTTTTCTCCAACCCTCACTTCCCCTCCTCCGTCTACCCCTCCCCACCTCACTGACCATCTGGTAGTATCTGAATTCATGAACACATCTTCGAGACATTGCTTGCGATTTCTATTCATGATACCAGAAGCAACGGCGATAGCAGTGCCGCGGTAGCAATAACAAATTTTCTTCTCGTTTGCATCATGGGACCGTTATCCTCCGAGCCGAAAGCACCGAGCTCCCAGATTCCTTTCCTTTCGCACGCGACCGAGCGACACTCACAGAATTAGCCAGTGAACGAGGACAGAAATCCTCCATTCCAACTACAATCAAAATCGCTAATTGGTCAAACCAAGCCCTGCTCGACGGGGTTTACTGGGGAAAGGGCCCCAGCAACGCTGGTTGCGTCAGAGCTACTGGTTCTTGACCTAACCGGGCACCAAGCAGTTTGAAGTGGCCCATCGCCGAAGATTGCCCCGGATACCGACCGGAGGTGGACGGGCCTCCTCGGCTGGGTTCGACGTTACGAGCAACATCCGCCGTTGGTTCGGTACTGAGCTCGGCGGCGAGTAGGTAGTTGAGGACGATGTTATTGATGTGATGCAGCGAAGAACAGTGAAAGATCGTTTATGATGCCATGTAGAGCTTCCCTTGTCAAAGTGCGATCATAACTCGATCCGTGGGGACATGAAGTCCATAATTGAAGCATGTGGATAACAGCTCCGGGCCTCAAGATTGAAAATGCTTCGACGCGAGGGGTTCCAGCCATTAATTAATGCGGCCTATGTCACCTCTGATCCTAGGTCCGTAATATTTGTCCATAGCTGTCTTGTGCGTTCGTCCACAGATTGCTACCACCTAGGACATTTTGTTATCCGATTATCACGATCTTGCAATAGCCTTGCAGAAGTGTATCTATCTATCTGTCTCGAAATTATGCCTCAGAACGATGCCTTGACATCCCAATAAGAAGCGTCGTGACTAGTTTTTCACTCTGCAGAATCCCTGGACTGATTTGTATCAGATATCGCTTTACCTGCTGTTCCCCGGGCGTTACGGGCATCGCAGCGCCACCCGTTGCGGCGTGGGCCCCGGACGCTGAACAATTTCCCGCATCGTGATCCCGAAAGAGGCCTAGCCGTTCTTCAAGGCCCCGGTGCGTTCAATTCATTGACAAAAGATGCTGTCTGCTTGGGCAAATTATTGACTCGCTCCGCAGGGTTTGATAGCTGCGGATCCTCGGACCAACGGCTTTACCTTCGGTTCCCGCTGTTCAGCCTTCGCACATGCGAAAATCCGAGGGTCCATGCTCGGTCACCGATAAATATGGCCAAAATGTGTCTTTTTCGGCCGTTACTTTTCACCTGCGAACCACTTGAAGAAATTGGGGTAACTCTTAGAACGGGTCCAACATGAAGCTCTCACGAAACTACACCCCCCTATCCCTACACGTACATCCTCTTAATGTGTTTCTGCCAAATATCATGCCGTAGACCGCCCAGGTTAAGTCTGTTGGCCAATGATAGGTTAGACGATTACCTTTCTATTGCCGATTCTCTGGGCCGCAAATTATCATCACTCTCAGCCGCATGCCCATTGACAACCTCGTCCCGTCGTGGGACCTACAAGGCAAGCAGGCACTGACCACTAAACACTCACATAGCCCCAGCACGTACACTGAACCTATACAATCTGGAGGTCAATGGGAGCATCTGCTTAACCTAGCAAACCTTCTTTGGTATAGTTCTTAAAGATTGTCGTCTGATCATTGCCGATGCAAAACCTGGAGCCGAGAGCCCCAGACCCGCTGTCCACCATGTGTTGCCAAGTCCGTCCAATTCCCATGATGTCTTCACATGTCGCTGATGGCTTGACTCATATTTTTTAACCGCGCATGTCAAAGTGGTTTAAGTCTCTTAAAGTCTTTGTTTAGCTTCGAAAGCTTTATGAGATGGTAATGATCAACAATCTTATGCTGTACCATACCGAAAGTCAAGGAACGAAATTCATGGAACGAAACTTCGCAACTCACTAGCTTTCCGTCCGTAGGTTACCTACGTAAGCTTCTTATTTATTTTTTCGGGTTGATCATATGATCAGGTGGTAATAAACTCTGCTTCTCTGTCCATGGATCCATTCATGTGTCTTCTCATCATGACTTACAAGCAAACTCCATAATGTGGCTGGTATCATGGCTGTGGCTGTGTTAGGCTGCCCCGCAATCCATCTTATCAGTCAATCTCCACCAAAACTTTTTTCGAAAATCGCCAACCTCCACTGCGCAGCTAGACCTTGAATCATCGAGAACCGAATATCACGATATCAAACGACAAATAAGCGAATCTGTTCTTCCGCAGCAATAATGGGTGTCACAAATAAGCGAACAATCACCAAGACACGACGCAAGACTCGAGATGTCGACCAAGTCAAGGCCGATATGCTGTCACCCAAGCATTTGAAGCAATTCATGGAGACCAAGGCTGCCGAGGATCTTCCTGGTCTTGGACGCCACTACTGCGTCGAGTGTTCCAAGTGGTTTGAGACAGATGCTACCCTGATTTCGCACCAAAAGGGAAAACCTCACAAGCGAAGGTATGCTGCTCTATTATTCCGAAGGGTATCCATTTGTCCACTTGTACTCAAACTAATTCTTCTCTAGAGCCAAGCAAATTGCCGAGGGTCCCTACACTCAGAAGGAGGCTGAGGCGGCTGTCGGCTTGCGAACAGACAACGGCGACCGAACGCGCACTCTTGCCGACGACGACGACGATGTTGCCATGGATGCTTAAACGTATGCGATCTCGATGTCCTCCACAGAGAATTGAATAGACAATGGGTACTTGGAAGGCGTATCGGAGCTGGGCTTGATATTCATGGCATCTCAAATGGCGTTTTGTTTTATTCCTGTCGACTACCACGTTATCTTCACCTGACACCTCGACCGCGCGCTCTGGCAAGCCCACTAGGCCGGCTTCGTCCAACTCCGCGTGTCGATCTTCCTCGCGCTGTTGTTCCTCGACCGGGGGCTGCAGGAAGACGTGATTGTCGCTTCGGAGGCTCTGGTGTAGTGAATTTGGATGTCTTTGCGGTCGTTGGTGGATTCTCGACGAAAGATGTATCCGTGGTCCTGGAACTAGTTAGAACGTGGTGTAACGGATAAGCTTATCGGGGTCCTTACATGAATGTCATTTCTGCATCAGCCTCGGATTTCGATGGGGTTACGGCTGGTTGCTCCTGTCGGGTTCTATCTCGACGGAAGGATTCAGGGACGGGTCCCTGTCAATTAGGTTAATTTCGATAACATACTCCGTAGTAGCGGATTAATCTGGTAGGCATACCTCGGGGAAATCGACACAGAAAGCATTCATATTCAATCCATAAAGAAAACTCGCGAATGATTCGCTGAATCTTGCCAGACTTTCATGCATAAGCTGGAAGTGCATCATATTCGCTTCGAGATCAGCCATGGCGTCAGATAGCTCGGCGAATGCCGGCTCGAACGCATTTAACGGAAACGGCGCATCGTGATCGCCGGCACCTCGTGCAGAGTCGCGAAAAGAAGATCGTGACGAAGGTCGAAGAGGGGTTGTAGGTCTTGATGTTCGAGAACGAGAGTTGGAACGCTTGTTGGTGTCCATAGGTGTAGTCGACATTTTGAGGTTATGCGTGCCGCTCTCTCTTGCTTGGCTCGTCTCTATACGGCCTTCTATGTATTTCCGGGAACGACGGCGTTTATGATGTTGTTCTTTATCTCTGGGTCGCGATTATGAAGCTGGATTGATTTGTCGGAAAGTCAACAAACATGTTTGTTGTGGCGCCCCCCGCAATAGTTCCATGGTGTGGCTGGTTAACTAGTGGATGTGGCTTTCTCCATGACAGCTTCCCTTTGATATCATTGCGGTTGGTTGTCTTCCATCGACGCATTTCATAGATGTTCCTTGACGAGATGCATGACTTCAGTCATGATCAATGGTACATTTGTATCAACTTATTACTTAGGTGTCTCGGAATGAGTCAATTCTTGTATTAGCAATTTCGTAGACTTGTTTATCTGAATCCACTATTCTCAGCTCGTATTCGTTGTATCGTGTGAGCAGAGCAAGTATGATGGAAAGGATGGTCACAATGTGGCAGGATACAGGGCTGCCGCCATTGAAGACATGCGAAACGCTGAGGATTTAGTAAACGATAAACCTCTGAAGTAAATGCTCTGTTTACATCACTACCAGTGTCGAATTCATGTCCCTGACAGGTCTCATGCTATAGACGGCCAGCTCTGTAGGGTAGTGACTTACACAGATTCGACCAGGGATATAATTTCGCGTGCGTAAGATATCCTTGAGCAGCTAGGGATAGCTACAATCCTGTCCGAACCAAGGCAGAACAATGTTTCAACGGGATATATATACAAATGGTACCTATATCTTAATCTGACGCATGTCTTGTGACGCTTTGTATAGTACGAATATGCAGTAGGCCTCCAGCTCCGGGCTTTTCGTTCCCGAGTACTCCGGACACTAACAGCCCGAACAGTTGACTCCCCTACGTCAATCCATACGTGACCCCATCAAGCCTGGGCTGTCCACCCAAACCGCGGGGGCCGATGTCTTTGAATCCCGCACGCACCTTTTAAAATCCGCTGGCTGGCCTTGTCATTACATGCATTCTCGTCTACTCATCCCCTATAAATTCTGAGTATTTATAGCGGCGTCGCCATTTCCTTCAAGGCCTCTCTCAGAGAACTCACTGTTCTTGTCGCTTCTGCAAAGACTCAAGGATCGGTGGAGCTCAATACTACGCCAAGAAGGGGTGTCCCGCATTCTAAAATCCCCATAAACGACGACATCGACTTGATTTTTGCGGCGCATGTCCATCTTTACGCGCGTGCAATTGGACTCTGACATATCTTTTCCTACCCTTCCCTTCACCTATGAGGGCTCAACTGAGACCAATATTATGCTCGTATAGCCCGTCTATCCGTTCATCTTGTTCGACTTTGCGCCACCTTCAGCTGCGGTCATCTGTCCTGGCTTCCAGCTTACTGAGACTACCCCTTACCAAGTCACCAGTAACCCCTGCATCGACTCGAAGCCTCGCAGCTGCGACATATCCTATAAGCCCAAGGATAAATCCAATCAACCTTAAAACTCTCAGTCGCCCAGGTGTTGTTGCCAAGAGGTCCTGTACAACCTCTTCTAGCACCGCTGGTTCCAATTCAAGTGGCAACACCCCGCTTGAAGCCAACATACTTAACTCAGCTGTTATAGCTGTAGTGGTTATTGCGGCTATCGTTGCTGTATCTGCTTTGCCTGTGAGAGCTTCCGATAACCTGCCATCACCCAAGGAAATTGAAGAAGAGATCGCAATTATGTCCTACCAAGCACCCCCTGGACGCCCGGGAAACCTGACTCCTGAACAGGAAGAGAAGCTCCGTAAATTATGGACAGCTGTCTTTCAACTCACTGGCGTTGCCGACGAGGAGAGTTCCGGCGCTGAACTTCTGTCACCGAAGGAGGATACGAGTTCGGCTGATGCTGATCCAAAGAAGAAGCGAGGTTTTGGCATGTTCAAGAAGGGCAAATCCGGCGCATCAACACCAACTGAGTCTACCGATGAGGACAAATACAACGAAACAAAGCAATTCCATGAGACTTTAGCCAAGGAGACACCCGAGACTATCCGTCACACCATTTGGAGCATGGTGAAGCACGATCATCCTGATGCTCTAGTGCTGCGCTTTCTCCGGGCACGAAAATGGGATGTCGAGAAGGCTCTTGTCATGTTGGTCGCGACTATGAATTGGAGACACAACGACATGAAGGTTGATGCTGACATCATGAAGAACGGTGATGCCTTTGCGATTGAGGATGAGAAGACTGACTCTCCTACTAAGCAAATCAGCGCCGACATGATGAAGCAGCTTCGAATGGGCAAGAGTTTCCTACACGGCACCGACAAGCAAGGCCGACCTATCTGCGTTGTCCGAGTTCGTCTCCACAAGGCAGGCCAAGAGTGTGAAGAGAGTTTGGAGAGGTACACTGTCTACATCATCGAAACAGCTCGTATGACTCTCGAGCCCCCCGTTGATACTGCTGTAAGTCACCCTCGTCTTCTTTGCAGCCAAGGTTGCTAACATGAAGATGCAGTGTATTGTCTTCGACATGACGGGCTTCTCCATGGCCAACATGGATTACACTCCTGTCAAGTTTATGATTAAGTGTTTTGAGGCCAACTACCCAGAGTCTCTTGGTGCCGTTCTGGTGCACAAGGCTCCCTGGTTATTCCAAGGTAGGCCGACAAAGACAGTTTAGACGACATAGGCTAATCAGATAACTAGGTATCTGGAAGGTTATTCGTGGCTGGCTCGACCCTGTCGTGGCGGCCAAGGTTCACTTCACCAACAATCGATCTGAACTCGAGGAATTCATTTCACGTGATCACCTGATTAAGGAACTCGAGGGTGACGAGAATTGGGAGTACAAGTACGTGGAGCCTGTCCCCGGCGAGAACGACAAGATGAAGGACACGCAAACACGGGATCGCATGCTGGCTGAGCGCGAAGAATTGGTCAAGAAGTTTGAACAGACAACCCGTGAATGGATTCGCCAGCCTGAGGGCGAACAAGGCAAGCAGCTCAAGGCTGAGCGCGAGAAGATTGCCAAGCTATTGAGGGAGGACTACTGGCGTCTCGACCCGTACATCCGGGCACGAACACTATATGACAGACAGGGAGCGATCCAGACCGGTGGCAAAACCGACTGGTACTCACTCAAGCCCCCAGCTGCCGTGGCCACCACTTCTTCTGATGACTTAGATTAGACGAATTAAGCAGAAAAGACACTTGAGCTGTATATAATCATGTCGATTTGATAAGTACAGGTTGGCACCTGGCACGTGGACAATAATACTAGAAGGGCTCTTCACGAACCAAAGCTCACAATGGTAATTGCCGAACACATTTTCGATGCACCTGTCTAAATCTTCGCCTTGATTTCCTCGTAGTAAGCCTTTAGCTGGTCCATATCGGCGGGCTTGGTTGGCCACCCAACGCCTAGGCCTTCCTCCTTGTTGGGCTTGGGGATCTGGGCACTTGTTAGTTACGACAGCGTCAAAGCTGGGGTTTGATGTTCTGACCATGTGGAAGTGCACCTGCGTTATATGTTAGCTTTAGTACAATTGGAGGGACAGCATGTTGAACATACGTGATCGACTTCTTGATGGGCGATACGGCCATTGTTCTGGAGAATGTTATAATCGGAGGCACCCGTTGCGTTGACGATCTTCTTGACGACAGGCTACGGGCAGTGTTAGTAACCGATTGTCAATTGTAAATCCTCATTTAGCTTACAAGGATCTCGGTGAGCTGGTCGTCAGGAATATCGGCAAGCTTCGCACCGTGATGCTTGGGAATGATAAGCTATATCGTGTCAGCGAGTTCATCACGTTGGCAGCTTTGAACATACGGCGTGACCTTTGCTCAGAGGCCCAATGTCAAGGAAAGCAAGGGTCTTTTCGCTTTCGAAGAGCTTGAAGCTAGGGATATCACCTATGTAGAAGATAAGTCAGCTATTATGGGAATTGAATGAAAACAGATCAGCTGATAAATGAACACCCTCAACATACTCTCCCCTCTGCTTCTCTCTGCTCACTCTCACACGATCGTCCTACTCAACTCCCCGTATCTTACCCTTGATGATTTTACAGAAAATGCAGTTGGACATTTTGATGTGATTTTCAGTATGTAGCCGTCGACGGGGAGGTGAAAGAAAGATGTAGAATTGAGAAGTAAATGTTCAATTGCCAGGCAAGACTGACCATTACATGAGGTAACCGAGCTGCTCTGGAGCTTTGGAGCTCTTACAGAGGAGGGGTTAGAGTGATACGATGTGATTGGCTGTGGGGCGTTGGTAGTAGAGTATATAAAGCAAAATAACACAAGCTTCTGTCGGAGTGGGACCTCCCATCGAACTCACCTCTTGCCTTTTACCAGATGTGACCGTGGGATTGGCCCAACAGACTCCATTCATCTAATCTTTGGAAACCATTCATCTAGAATACCTAGATTCGAATTTTTGTTTTTTGCTTTTTAAATATTTTTGCTATAATTTCTCTGCTTCACTGAATATTATTGTATTCTTTTTGGGCTTTTTAAAGCTCGTTGAGGTTCATTTTTATACCTTCGAAAGATAGTAATTCTCTGCAGTTCTTGCCAAGTGAGGTTTCTCTGCGCCTTGATTTTTACGTCATCCCCATAACGGCGGGGTCCCCGACGCTCAGCCCCTCCAAACCCAAGCGGATTGCTGTAAGGCAAGGCAACATTGCTTGTACCCATGATCTGTCGCTCCTCGCCCACTTTCAGGCGCCTACTATCCTCCTGGTAACGCTCATTGCCAAGATTAATTCCTCAGATAAGTACGAGGTGCCGCATTCAACTTGATGCCTTGAAGCTTATTTACCAGCGCTCGAATCAACAACCAGCTTGCCCTCATATACAAGATCAAATATTCCTATCACGTTTGCGACAGACATCTAAACAGCATTTCTCGCTTCAACAAGATGCCTGAATTCATCAGTACACCTCTCTATGGTGGCGCAATCACTTGCGACCTGCCTGCCAAGTTTGCCGATGTCAGGTTGGTGTTCTATTCTCTTTGCGCCCAAAGCTCGAGCTGACTCTATTCCTGCAGCAAACTGCGACAAGTCCCCGATAACCAAGAAGTCTGGATCGATCAGGATGGCTTCACCAGCATCATCTTCGATATCACCGAGCGCGTCGGAGGTTCTGGCTCAGGCCCTGAGATTGACGGCCGTGCCATGACGACCCATCTCGAAGACATGGTGGGATCCGATATTGATACTGTCAAGATCTGGAACACCGCTGAGACCGAGTTCTCGAACCTTGAGTACGTTCAATAACATTTGTGGAATGGGAAGATTACTGACAGACTTATCCAGCGGCACACCTGCGTACACGCTCATTTCCACCCAGACCCCCCACGTTAGCAAATCCCGCGACTCGACATCTGCGCCCGACTTCACTGCCATCATCATGACACTGTTGCGACTCGAGAAGGAGAAGACCGATATTCTCATCACCATCAACGTGCCGCATATCAAGGGAGAGTACGATGAGTCGGAAGTTGACCTTGAGCTGGGACGCCAGGGTAAATTGATTGGCGCCGCCGTCGAGTACTCGGCCAAGATCTGGTCGACGTTCAAGATCAAGGACTGGGGTCTGTTTGGTGCTTAAGCGCTGAGGTGCACGAGAATATCGTTGGATATGAATAAGTGAAGACATTCAGGATGCGAGAGTAAACCGTATCAGAAGCTAGGATATCCTGGGATGATTGCCACGATTGATGACCTTTTCTTTGTGGATGGATATATGAATACAAAGACACACAAAAGAAGCACTCTCCTTACGATTGAAAAGCGGTACTCCTTTACACTTCCCAAACATATGACTACGATTGTTTCTATCGGACAATGCTCATGTGTTGTAGGCCGACATTGGCAAGGTAATATTTTCCAATCTTCGCGTGAAGGACATAGAACAGACTTGCTCCGAAGGTCAAGGTTATCTCTATCCGTCCATCTTGAGAAACGTACTTTAGTAGTCCAGGCATAATGACCGTGAGTTCCTGTAAACCTTGCTTATCACAATAGAGGATCGATGAGTTTACACGACAGGGATATAGAAGAGTTGTATTCGAACAGTCCGTATTTGAAGGCATACCGCTACAGGGTACATTCTTTCAGGGTCACGAGAGATGCGTGTTTCTATGTATTGTTTGTTGTATCATGCGTGTAGTGATTATATGTACGGGTATCTTTAACATGCTCCTGTTCATGCTTGGCCTTCAATAGTCAAATCAACCAGCTTCTCAGTAACGCTCTCAATTCCCAATTTGCTAGGAGCTTTGCCCCCAGCCTTCCCGCCCTCTTGCTTCGCCCACTTCTCCGCAATGAGCTTCATCACGACCTTTTGCGGACTCCCAGGATTCTCTGCCCGTACGATAGCCATCTGCTCCTTGACAAATGTCTGATATCGGCTTGGGGCTTTCCCTGCCGCTGCTCCTCTGGGCGCCGGTCTCGTCTGTTTCAAGAGTCCCTTGCAGCTACCGCATCGATGTCGTTTCGGGTCGATGCTCTTCGAGTGTCGCTTGAACTCGGTTCCGCACTCATCGCACTCCCACACATACTTGAAGTCAATATCGTAGCTGTGCTTGGTTGTCACTTCGATTCCACGATCACCGAATACAGATGAGCATTTCGCCGCCCAAATTTTGAACTCACGACCGTGGGGATTCGTTGTGATGCCGCTGACCATGAAATTGGCAAGATGACAGAACTCGTGGGCCATCACGTTGAGGAGGCGGTGCTCATCATCGATGACCTTTTCAGCGAGCTCGATCGAGGCATGATGCTTGTAGGTCACAGCTAGTTGCTCGCCGTCAGCCTTTCGCGTAGTTCGGGTAGTCTCGCGACGCCAGCTTGCTCGACCAGCTGTAGTGTTGAGGGTCTTTGTCCATACAAGCTTTACACCACCAGTGGACTCAGCAAGTTCAGCAATCTTGCCCTGTGTGATCTTGTCATCCAGTTCAAGCAGGAAACTCTCGGCCAGGGCGTGTTTCCTAGCAGCGAAGGACTTCTTGGTTTCCTTTTTGGGATCCTTCTTGGGACTCGTCTTACTGGGACTCTTGGTGACGGGAGGGAGCATAAGCTTGCGTGGTGAATGTTGATCATTCCAATCGTTGACGAAATCCTGATTCCAGAAAGCGTCCATGCTCGGGCGATGAGGTGTCTTGGGTATAACAATCTTTTTGTTCGGGGATGCTAGGCCCTTGGACTTCGTGCCTCTAGGTGGCGTAGTAGGGGGTGTGGTGAACTGATCCTTGCTCGATAGCTTACTATCCTCATCTGAGAAGTCTTCGAGTTGAAGTCGTAGTTTGGATAGTGTATCTGCAAGGTCGGAGGCTGTGCTTGTGCCTGGAACGCCTTGTCGGGTGCCCTTGCTAGTTTTGCGAGATGCAGTAACCTCCTTGTCCGATGCTGTCTTCTTCGTGATATCGCGGACTATGCTGTTGACATCTGTAGCACGGCCAGATGCTTTTGGTACAAGAGCTGGTACATTCTTGATCGAAGGCACACGAGTCCTCGTGCCAGTAGTACTTGGTAGTGGGTTGCTGACTTGTCTCGTCCCTTTTCTCGCCAGCACATCAGGAGATTCGCTCAGCCAGTCAGGCTCAGAAACAGAGTCGGAAATCTCATCCGCAGTCTGATAGACACTGGGCTCATCGGCTTGTTCCTCCTCATGGTTCACCTCCGTGTCAGTTCCACTATCGATCTCACTGTCAATCTCGCGTGCGAACAGCAACGCTTTGGACTTTGTCAAGTCAATTTTTGAGGTTTGCTTTTTGGCGTCCGTACTGGGCATTGTGATTTTACTCGTCTTGGCCTTTTGAAGTCGTCGGACTCTTGTTAACACAGTCTCCTTCTCAGAGCTGGAACCCTCTTCGCTGCCACCCTCGCTATCATCAGAGTCTTCTACAATCCTTCGATTTCTCCGTCTGCTAGGTTGCTGGCGAACATGTGGGATAAAACCCTCATCTTCGGAGTCAGAAACAGACTTCATTTCCGTCTGGGAGCCAGGAATTGTTTCTCGTGATGACCTTGTCGAACTTTTTGCTCGAGCCTTGGTGCCTCGTTCCCTGATGTTTTCCTCTTGTTCCAAGTTCCATTTTTGGAAGAGAGGATTGGCTGTGACTTGATTTGGCTCCCCGAGACGTCGGACACGGCGGGATTCGGAGTTGATTGTGGCTTTAGGAGCACGGGCAGCGGTAGTTGAGGGTGCCGACTTAGTCGTCTTCTTCGTTGCTCTGGTGCTGGGTTTCTGAAGTAGGGTCTTCAGGTCAGGGAGATCATCGTCACTGGAGAGACAAGCACCAGCCAGTCTCGCCATTATGAGTTTGTAAGATCCGTGAGGCAAAAGGCTTTGGCTATGACAAATAATGTGCGTATAGATGTTTCTTGGATTGCTAATGGCACACGGATGTAGACAGAAACACTTTTAGTTAGATGATAATGGTGGTGTAGGCATGCGGTGACCTGGAGACGAATGTGTTGATAACATAAAATGGCTTAGCTTAGATGCAGGCTGACTTTGGCGGAAACTTGAATTGTCTATGTACGATTCTGAGAAGTCTCAAACGAAAGTAAAGAGTCGTCAACGTTGGCAGAGCAACGGCCCCGTTGGAATGTGGCATCGCGACTACACGTGACCATGATCAACATGCTAGAATAGAATGCGAGCTGGAAGAGGGTTGAGTAAGACATTGGCTCACGGCAGAGACTTGAAATAATTGTGCTAGATATAAATTCAAAAGTGAGACAAATTACTTATGGTGATGAACATTGGTACGTAACTTCTACATGAGGTACAGTATCAATGATTTCGGTTACAGTTCTAGAAGTTATAACATGAGGCTGGTCGAGTCAAGGACAAGGACACTGACACCGGGGATGAATGAATCCGAGCCGGAGACGGGAAACAGGCCTGGACATGATTATGTATTTTCGGTGCCCGGTTGTATGAGAAACCCTTGCTTGCCTTGGTAGGCAAACTTCTCTTGTCGAGAATAGGGTAAGCGATTTATCTTTTTTACCCCTGAAAAGATGCCAACTGTTACAATAGCATGAATATTATCTGTGGACGTCTACCATCAGCACAACCTGCTGCAATATCAATGCGCCTTTTTACTGTCAGAAATCTCGGATGGATTACAAAACACTTTAACACACGAAAGAATGACGTAGAATTTGATCATAGAGCACAGCACATTAGACCGAGTAATAAAGATTCGGTCTTGATACTAACGTTATGTATCGGGAAATGAGCCGGACCCAAGCACGCAGAGACTCACTAATGAGCTTGGGAAGTTAAAAAAAGGAAGCGACTCCATTCTCGGACTATTTGAAGCGGCTTAGAAGTGGGATCAAGAAAAGGAGGTGGCCAACGAGCTGGCTGTGCTGTCATTTACGACCACTGTCAGTGAATCAGTCAGTCACTGATAGACGTCGAGTCTGAGTGATCGTCCATCGGCTGTTGACGGATCTTCATTATTATTGACTGAATTTGTTCGGTGCATTCATTACCAGCCAGGGTCAGCATGTTTATTGTTTTTCTGCAGGTAAATCACAACACAACATGCTGTTGTCATTTATCGTTATCACAGCACCTTTTAGTTACAGTAGAGTAGTTAATTTTCACCCCGGTTGATACTAGTCAACGGGTGGCGTTTCACCAGCTTATTTGACAAGACAAAGTTGCTCTTCTCAATCCGCTTCACGTATGATTTTTCAACTTCAAACCAGTCGCATCAAGATGAGCGCCGCTCTAGCGTGGTGGATTACGGAGCCGTTGAGCCAAATTTGGGTTGGGAGATTTGAGCTAAATCGCAAAGTTAATACTAGGACTGGACTTTGCCCGCTGGAAATGGGGAATCTGAGAAAAAAATTAAAAAAAATTGAAGTGGTCCTTGTATCCAGCCGCCAGCCAGCTCTAAGCATTTGATGGAATCGATGATCGTGTCTAGGACGACCAGGGATGACCTTGCTATGGAGCTAATATCTGCAGCACGGTAATATCACACAGGCCGCGTACAGCGTCGTCATCGATTGTAATTATGCTGCATCAAGAGACTGAACCCCCCTCTGTGGCAGTGTTTTTGTGCGTTATTTATGTAGGTAGACAACATTGCTAGTGTCGGTTGTTCCTCTATGCAGATGGAAGCTCCTTTTGATGACTGCAGTTCAGTATCAAACAAGACGAAAATACGGATGCAAGGTGCATGATCTGTTCCTGCATAAGGGAGACGGGCTGCCGGCGATTCCTGATTCCACTCTATTTCTAGGCTCTAGCTCGCTTGCTGAATCACCGCTCTTTCTCCATGTCTGCTCTGTAATCAATCACAGATTCTACAATCGAGATTACATTGGTATCTTAAGGCTGAAACAATTACAGTCAAGATTAGGTAGTCAGCAGTGGTGACATTGTAGATACAAGGAAGGATCAACTATATGAGTCCAAGTCCCGGATATTACTTGACAAGCGATGGAAGAGATAAGGAAAGGAAGGGTAAGGAGGATTAGGTTCCTTGACCGACCAGCCATCCATCAAGAGAGTCAGTGAGGGAGCATGCAATGCAATGCAATGCATGCAGGCGCATTTCGAGGACAAGGTTACGCAGCAGTTTAATTACTCCACGCTTCACCTATCTGACGAACCAGCTGAAGTTTGTTCAAATCGCCCACGGCTGTGGCCGCAGCCGTCGACGGGAGCCAGCAGCTTACAGGGTCATAGACACGTGTAGATAGTTTGATATCGAGCTCGTAACCAATCTCAAACGCTGAGAGCCATTGTAACTTTGCAGACGCACATGGGAATTGCCTTGCTTCATGCATTTCCTGCCTTGAAACATCGTGTTTGGGGGGACAGTAGCTCAGCCACTGTTGAACTTGCTTTCAGGGCGACCAACTGCAACCTACATGCGATGCCACTGTAACGCAACAAAACCTACACCACGCCACGCTCAAGGCGAAGTTGGATACCTGAGGTGCCTATGCTTCTCATTTGATACTGCACTGTAGCCATTCTTGTATGTCAAGGCATTGTCAACCACGGCTCTGGGTCATAGAGGGAGATTGTCATTGTCTTGAACATCGGATGTGCCGTTCAGGGGCGCACAGCTGCCCCTCAGTGGAGGCATCGTCCAGCAGCCCGATTTGCAGCAGTATCCGGCCCGCTGAGATGGAAGGAATCGCTCCGTGCCAATGGTGATGGACGCGTGGCTGGCCTTGAGAGTGATACCTGAGGGGTACGAGCTCTTCGAAGGTTCCGCCTCATCAATCTCGTATCGCTAAGGTGCTGCGTAAGGACCGCCTCGCCGTCAAATGTTACCAGCTGAGAAATTGGCTGTCGAGTACCCAGCAAGTACTGTGCTGGCGGGGGTGCTTGTTGGACAGCAGCACATTTCCATCCGAGCAGTCCGCGGTGCTCGTCAACATGAACAGGCAAAGCCTAAAGTGACCAGCCACCCTTCAGAGACATGGACCCAACCACTCCCTCTGCTCCATCCAATCAAGACTCGTATCCCCTGGCGCTCCATGTCAACGCCCCTGGATTGCACAGCGAGTCGCGGGCGCGGGTCAGCTTTTTTAGGGGCGATGGACCTCTAAACGGGATGAGATGGATGGGGCCATCATCAGCAAAGCAAGGAACGAAAGGAGACGGACCAGGAAACGGCCCGGACGACCCACCAGTTGGAACAGCACATCACGATGAGATGAGAACTGGAAGTGCTTGAGAGATGGCCGGGTGTATCAAATCTTTGAACCGAATTGAGTTTCAGCGGTCTGGCCGCTGTGAACTTCGGGCTTAGCGGGTATCATGCCTTGTAAACTCAGGACATGGAAGCTTTAGAAACGGCCAATGACCCCACCTGACGATTGGAGAGCAGCTCTTGGGTTGGTGAGAGGTCGGAGCTCATTCGCCAACAGATTCAGAACGGAGACCCAAGAATCGCTCTTCCTTGCACTAAAATCTCCCTTCTCAAACTGCTTCTGCTTGGCTGCTGGCTGGCTGCCTGCTTTCCCCATCCATTGTTGTTGTCCTCCCCTCCTGGACTGTACTTACCTCCCACTGTGTGTTGCTTGACTGTTTTGGTGTTTGATTCATCGATCCTCCCTTCTCTCTTCCACTCCCACGTTTTTGTGTACATACGTATGTGTCTGCGTGGCTCAAGAAGGTCGGTTGCTGAAAAAAACATACCAAGACTTTTCTTTCTTCATTTCTTTTGCATCACCTCTGTTGATCGCTTCTGGCATCTTAATACATAGAGAACATCCATTGGAAACTTCTTTCCATCGATCCAAAGTGGCTCCCTCCCTCCCCCTGCTATCTTACACCCACACCCAATACTGTATCATCTTTCACCCCCTGAACCGCCCTGGATAACCCGGCGCCGAGACACGCATCGTTTCTCTCCCTGCCCGTGCGGGTTGGAACTCAAACCACCAAAAACCAACCCTCGTCTCTCCCCTTTGCCATTCTTTGCATTACGCATTGCCGACACTCGTTTTACGGCTTCGCAAAATCATTTTTTGTCTCGCCATCTTTGCGAAGACGACTACTCAAGCCGGTGAATCACACTTTCGTGATTGATTCATCTTCTTGAACTGGAATCGACGCTGAACTGCATCTCTTTCTTTGGCCTTTTCTGACCCAAGTCACTGCCTTTTCGGCCTTTTGACGGTTTTTGACAACATCTTGCAGTGCCGGTCACGCTTGTTCTTCCGCCTGATCTCGAATCATAACACACTCGTTGATCATCCACATGTGTATCTATAGGTGAGTTGTCGATGCTTTGTTCACTTTCAGTGTCCCCTATGCCTCGCCGCACCGGCTTCAAACGGGCGGATGAGGTTCGCCAACATCAGATCAAGGACGACTTAGTAATCTGCTCTCGAATAACGCGGCTGACCATCTTTCTCTCAGATAATTCAATTAAAGCAGCATGTCGGGATATCCAGGCGGTGGTCAACGCGACCACTATGATGATGGCTATGGCCATCCTCAGGGAGGCAATCAACAACAGGGTGGAAATACAGACTCCTACTACCAAGACGATCAGTACTATGATCAAGGCTACGACAACCGTGGACGCAACAACAACAACAACAACAA